GTGCAGAGCCTCCATGACAGAGTTTAGGGGTGCCTTCAGGGTAAGAAAAAAGGTTGCATGCGGCGTCACAAAAAAGTGGTTGGCCATGTTTATCTAAGGTGTCCAAGAGTCCTTCCTAATAAGTTCCAGAACGAATCACGAATCCTACTGCAATTGGGCTACGTGTGAGAAGAGATAAAATGCCACAGTTGTGGAAAGCAATGGATTATGTAATTACATAGCTCCTGTCTTCTCAGTGCGAAGAGGCTCCCATTGTACCTGAAAAGGTGGCAACTGAACTGAGACCATCTCTGTCCCACTCAACCAGGTCCATCACCAACCTTACCTGGCTCACATGGTCTAGGGCAGGGGTAGGCAACCTTGGCTCTTTGATGACTCATGGACTTCAACTCCCAGAATTCCAGTCAGCTATGCTGAGGGGACAGGGAGAGGTTTCCAAGCTGAGCCATGCTGGCTCAGGAATTCTGGGAGTTGAAGTCCACCAGTCATAAAAGAGCCAAGGTGTCCTACCGGGGTCTAGTAGTTCAACCTTCAACGGTTCCTCATTCTCGCAGGAAGTTTCAACCTTTTGGCTTTGGCACACAATGCCAAGGGGCCCCAACTGAGAATAACAATATTTCAGACTTGGATGGGACCTTGGAGGTCTTTACTGGGGGCCAAGCAGGAGACCCTGTACCATCCCGGACGAACGGGTGTCCAGTTTCTTCTTGACAACCTCCAGCGATGGAGCACCCACAACTTCTGAAGGCAAGCCGTTCCACTGGTTAATTGTTCTCACTGTCAGGAAGTTTTTCCTTAGTTCCAGGTGTTCTCTCCTTGATGGTTCACCATTGGTTCTTGTTGTGCCTTCTGGTGCTTTAGAATAGAACAGAGCTGGAAGGGACCTTGGAGGTCTTCTAATCAAGCCCCCTGTTCGAGCAGGGAGAACCTATACCATTCAGACAATGACTGTCTGGTCTCTTCTTAAAAATCTCCAGGATGGAGCGCCTGCGATTTCTGAAGGCAAAGCTGTTCCACTGGTTGATTGTCCTCACTGTTAGGAAGTTCTCCTTAATTTCAGGTTGCTTGGTTTCCCAACCATTGTTTTTCGTCTTGCCCCTCTGGTGCTTTGGAGAATAGTTGGATGCCCTCTTCTTTGTGGCAGCCCACTCAGATACTGGAAGACTGCTATCATGTCTCCCTATTTCTTCTTTTCTTAGACTAGCCAAATCCATGTCCTGCAGCCGTTCTTCATATGTCTTAGTCTCCAGGCCTTTGATCATTTTAGTTGCTCTTCTCTGAACTTTTCCAAGGTCCCTTTGGAGAACAGGATGACCCCCTCTTCTTTGTGGCAGCCCCTCAGATATTGGAACCATGCCAACCCGATTCCTTCTTCTCATTATAAAGGAACCAAGGAGAAACTTCCCATCATCAGCTGAAGTGCTACTTCTTAAAAAAAATGGCATAACGTGGAATTAGAAAGAAGATGAAGAGGCAGGATTGCCAGTTCAGCAGAAAAAAACCTATGTTTAGATGAGGCAGGAATGGGGTCAGACAAAGGACGGCGGTTTGGAATCCATCTGGACGATTATTTCTATATTTTCAGAGGTGTCAACAAATCAAGAGGGGTGTTAAGCTAATGAGGAATGACATTCAGAAGCAGGACTCTGAAGTGGGCTTTGCCCCAGAGGCATAGATACTCAAGGAATCATAGCACCCAGCTCATGCCAAACCAAAACCGCCTTCCTTCCAGACCTGCTGGAAAGTAGTCTATCTAGGCTACTGAACTCAAGACAGAAAAGAAAGAAAAAGAAAGAAAGAAAGAAAGAAAGAAAGAAAGATAAGGAAAGAAAGAAAGAAAGAAAAAAGAAGAAAGAATGGAAGGGAGGGAGGGAGGGAGGGGAAGGAAGGAAGGAAGGAAGGAAGGAAGGAAGGAAGGAAGGAAGGAAGGAAGGAAGGAAGGAAGGAAGGAAGGAAGGCAATAAAAGCAGTGGATCTGGTTTATTATTTATTTATGAGACTTATATACCGCTTTTAAGTGCAAGCACTCTCTAAGCGGTGTACACCAGTAAGCAATGTATATATATATATTTACATTGCCCCCCCAACAATCTGGGTCCTTATTTTACCTACCCCGGAAGGATGGAAGGCTGAGTCAACTTGAGCCGGTGAGATTGAACGCTGACCTGCTGAACATAGTCAGCAAAGGGCCTGCAGTACTGCACTCTAACTGCTGCGCCACCTCGGCTCGGTTTGCTGGATTTCAACCATCATCTGAAGGAGGTGATATTTTTTTCAGAGATGGGTTCTGAGAAAGAAGTGATCCATCCCCTGGATGGTTTCAGATGTGCTTTTGTGCATTCTACCCACATCTGTAATTTCCCCTTTTTAAGATGGCGTAATAAGAAGAAAACAGAGTTTTGCATGGATGTGAGATGGATCCATCAAAGCAAGATCTCAGATGGTGGAACCCAAAACCAGATAAAAGAAAGAGACATCAATACGTTGGCCTTAGATCAGGGGCATCCAAAGATGGCAACTTTAAGGACTTGTGGACTTCAGAATTCCCCAAGGGGAGGCTGGGAAATTCTGGGAGTTGAAGTCCACAAGTCTTAAAGTTGGCAAGGTTGGACAAGCCTACCTTAGCTGTAGGATTTTTCTAGAGAAGAGAAATACCGCATCAGCCACTATGGTTGGTTTCCAACGATATGAGCTTCTCAAAACCCAAGAGATGGATAAGAACTTGAAAAAAACTCAAGGTCAGAATATCAGCACATTCCTCCATTATCAGAAAAATGGCTGGCACCCTCATTTATCAAATGATTTTCACCAAGGGAATTCAGACATTTCACCCTCAACTGAGAGAGAAAAAAAAAGAAGCAGGAGTATCAAATAGCTGAAATGTCTGTAACTCAATCCTTTTTTTCCTTTGGATAAATCCAAGGATGGAAGAACTTTGTGATCATCCGTTCTTCCTTCCCCAGCTACAGCTGCAAACCAGCCCGAAAACTCGGAGATGGAAGAAAACGGTAATCATTCTTTTGCTGTCCGGAAAAATCCTAGCTCAACGACACCTGCCTCAGAATACCAGAAAGCGTTTTGAAACTCAACTCATAGAAACCACACCCCCCCACACACAACAAATATAACCTTCAGGTTAGTTGGACTTAGCCAGGACAAGAACTTAGCAACAAGAGTTGTTGCAGATGTTACAACCTTTTGATGGGTTAGAAAGGCATGCTGGGGTGCCATTCATAATTACAAGCTAAGGAGGAGAGGGAAAAAATCAATTTTCTTAATTTATCCCACCATCCGCCTGAGAGTCAGCATCTGCAGCAAATCAATTAGTAATCCTATTATATGCAGATGACAGGAAGTATGTGTATTGAACCAAATGCCAGCAACGTCTCCTTCCATAAGAAAGCAGAGATGGTACAGAGAGTTGTTTTACTATCTCAGTCTCTTGCCAAGATCTAAGGATTTGTAAGAAACCAACTCATTTAATAACCGTGTAACTAGAGCAATACTTTTATCAATAGATCTCTCTATCTTTCTCTCTCTTTCTCTCTTTTGCTTTCTATCTTGTCTCCTGTTCTTTCTTTCTTTCTTTCTTTCTTTCTTTCTTTCTTTCTTTCTTTCTTTCTTTCTTCTTCTTTTGCTCGGACCACACGTTTTTGAATAGTTTTTATCCCAGAGCTATAATTGCACTTAATAATGAACTAAAGGGCCACCATCAGTGAACTGTTGGACAGTATTATTGGTCTGTTGGTGATGTTTGGGTGGTTTTAGAGGTGGGGAACTGTGGTGGGTGGGAGTGTGCTTGGGGATTATGTGTGTCGGACCTGGTCTTGGGTGTCACGTAAATTTTCGTGTATGTGTATACTGTGTATACACATACAATGGCAATAAAGTTTATTATTTTTTATTATTTATTTCATTTTTTTTTCTTTCTCTTCCCTATCTCTCTCTCTGTGTCTTTCTGTCTCTCTTTCTCTTTCTCTTCTTTCTCTTTTTTTCTCTCCCCCCTCTCTCCCTCTCTCTGTATTGTAATTAACATTTCCAGAAGCCTCTGTGCTTGTTCAGACAAATGTTCAAAAACAAAAAAACAGAGAACAATTAAATTTGTCAGAGAAAAAAGGGCACTGCCTATGACTTCATTCAACATCATAAATGGACTTTGAGGTGATTTTGGAAATTGGCTTCTATTGAAATCCAATCCAGGTTCTTTCTTTCTTTTTTAAAAAACATACCTAAACTCTCCCTATGCTGCATTAAATTAAACATGGATTGAAACATTTAAATCTAAGTCCAATTTTGTCCTTGATATTTTATAGCTGTCAGGCACTTGATCGCAGCCTAAAACCCAAAGCAGCTGATTTTTCAAAAATGATTCTCATAATTTACATCAGGGGTGTCAAACTGCCATGCCTACCCCACTGTGGCAAATGGAGAAAAAAGTCACGATACGTCGCGACACGTCACGTTGACGTTGCGAGTTGACATCCTGGTCTACATGTTTAGCAAGATTAATTAAGGTAGGGTTACAAGCAGTGGTGGCATTCAAATGGGTGAACAACCGGTTCTCTGTGTGGATGCCGCTTCCGGAGGTCCATTCTGGGCCTGGGCAACAAAAAATAGCTACCGGTTCAGACAAAGTGGTGGGAACTGGCTGAATACCACCACTGGTTACAAGAATTGCACCAGTTCGGCTATTTTCCCTCTGCAATTAACAACCCGTACATGAGGATGGAGGGTTCTTTTACTTTTCACAGCCTCCCTGCGAACCAGTGAGAATTAAGGAGTTGGCAAATGATGATTTGTAGAATCATCTCCCGATTTAGACTAGACTAGAATAGAATGGAAGGGACCTTGCTGGTCTTCTAGCCTCCAAATAAAATATATGTATATATATGTCAGTTTGAGAATCACATTCATGGAAATGTAGAGTAACCCCCTGCAGTTTTTTTGTCACTACAAAAGGAGGGGGAAAAAAAAAATACTGAAAGATAATCATCACTTACCAGTTGATGCTTCATATGGATGGTGATGAGGGGAGAGCTTGACAGATTGTGAGACAGAGTTGGTGGTGGCTCCATGTCAGGGAGATAAGGTAGCTACTAGCAAACATCATACACTCCTTGCAGGTAGAGCTTCAGGAATTCTGAGGAATTAAAGCAACAGTTGATTAGTGGTATTTAATAGAGGTATTTTGTTTCTTCAGACACGCATCTTTATTTGGGGAGGGAGGAGGGAGAGAGGAAGGAAGGAAGGAAGGAAGGAAGGGAAGGGAAGGAAGGAAGGAAGGAAGATGGGAATGAGAGGAAGGAAGGAAGGAAGGAAGGAAGGAAGGAAGGAAGGAAGATGGGAATGAGAGGAAGGGAAGGAGGGAGAGAGGGATGGAAGGAAAGAAGGAAGGAAGGAAGGAAGAAAGAAGGAAAGAAAGGAAGGAAGGAAGAAAGGAAGGAAAGGAAGGAAGGAAGGAAGGAAAGGAAGGAAGGAAGAAGGAAGAAGGAAGGAAGGGGAATGGAGGAGAGGGAAGGGAACATCTCCAAAACATGGCACACAGTAGATATAACAGCACATGCAAAAAGTAGTAAGACACCGATCTTTTTTAGTATATGTGCTGCCGAAGCGAGCACAAGACAACCGATCTTTGATGGCAATGGGAATTATGGACCCAACTGGTATTATTTCTAAAGTGTAAAATCCCAGCAGCTTCTCTGCTTATGAATGTGCTGGTCATTCTCAGCAACGGGGATACTTTGGCTTCATCACTGGAGGTTTTTAAGAAAAGACTGGACGGCCACTTGTCTGAAATGGTACAGAGTCTCCTGCTGAGCAGGGGGCTGGACCAGAAGACCTCCAAGGTCCTTCCAGCTTGACTCTGATGATTGGCTGACTTCTACAAGGACCCCCGAGAGAGCCTTGCTTGCTTTGAACCATTTTGCGGATCCCGAAAACTGACTGCTTTGAGTTCCAACTGGGATCTGGAACACATCTCTGCCGACAGACTAGGTGGAGCATCTGGGCTGCTTTTATGACCTCGGTTCTGTGCCTTTTGCCTTCATACATGGAAGCTGGAGAGGGCAGAAAAGTTCCCTCTTCCTCATATTGAAAGAATAATCGTCTCCATTGTGTTCCTTAAGCTCCTAAGAAGGCCTATTGAGAAGGACACAACCTGGCGCCACATGCCTTTAACCTATAAATAAATCAATGCAAAGACTGAACAGAAAAAAAATTCCATCAAGGGCTGAGACTTTGCTGCTCGGAGTTAGATTCCCTTTCTTTCACTTTCCCCCTCAAATTATTCTTTGGCCCATTATTTATAGTCCTGTTATGAAAGAGACCCATCATGTCTAGGGAAAAAGTATCCTTCTCAGGGGTGCCATAATTTAAACCAGAATGCGAGACAAACCGAACGGGCACAAGCTGTGATTAGAAAGCAGCCAGCCAAGGTGTTTCCTAGCTGGAGGGAGCATTTGACAAGCAAAGTTTAAATACTCCAATTGCCATCTGCCTCCTTCTATTTCCCCACCACCAGCACCACCACCACCACCAAAAGGAGGTTAGATTTTGCTCGGCTTGTTGTTGTTGTTAGTTGTGAAGTCGTGTCCAACCCATCGCGGCCCCATGGACAATGTTCCCCCAGGCCTTCCTGTCGTCTATCATCTTCTGGAGTCCCTTAAGCTCACGCTTCCTGCTTCAGGACTCCATCCAGCCACCTCCTTCTCTGTCGTCCCCTTCTTCTCTTGCCCTCCATCTTTCCCAGCATCGGGTCTTCTCAGTGAGTCCTTCCTCTCATCAGGTGGCCAAAGTACTTGAGTTTCAACTTCAGGATCTGGCCTTCTAAAGAGCAGTCGGGGTTGATCACCTCTAGGACTGACCGGTTGGATCGCCTTGCAGTCCAGGGGACTCGCAGGAGTCTTCTCCAGCACCAGAGTTCAAAGGCCTCAAGTCGTGTCCGACTCATCGCAACCCTGCGGACAACGTTCCTCCAGGCCTCCTGTCCTCTACCATCTTCTGGAGTCCATTGAAGCTCACGCCTTGCTGCTTCAGTGACTCCATCCAGCCACCTCTTCTCTGTCGTCCCCTTCTTCTCTTGCCCTCCATCTTCCGCAGCATCGGGCTCTTCTCCAGTGAGTCCTTCCTTCTCATTAGGTGGCCAAAGTCCTTGAGTTTCAACTTCAGGATCTGGCCTTCTAAAGAGCAGTCAGGGTTGATCTCCCTAGGACTGACCGGTTGGATCACTTTGCAGTCCAGGGGACTCGCAGGAGTTCTCCAGCACCAGAGTTCAAAGGCCTCCATTCTATGGCGCTCAGCCTTTCTACGGTCCAACTTTCACTACCCTCTTTAAATAAACTTCTAGAACTTGCAGGTGAGAGGCTACAGCAGTGCCAAGAAAAATTAGCCACTCCCTAGGTCTGTTCCATTCCATTCATTACTTCCATAAATAAATCAGTTTGACAAGCAATGTGGGTGGAGGAAACCTTATGAATAAGGCTTGGAGATTTCCCAGGTCAGGGAAGAATGTGAGTGATTTATTGCTGCAAGTTTCCACAATTTAAATCCACGGTCAGCAAGCAAAAGAGTAAACAGATTGTAAGCCATTATTTTGCTTTTGGTGAGGTGTAAATTAGACCTGGGCATCTGGGAAAAGTGAAAGAGGAAGGATGGCGTGTCACAGAGCTAAATTAGCTCGAGTCCATCCTGCGATTTAAAGTTCAAGGAGATAAGGGAAGCAGGGAGCCGGCTGAGAGGGGTGACTGAGCATTTTCAATGAGAATCTTAGATTTTTATTATTATTATTATTTGAGTGCCATACTGTCAGTCCATATGACAATCGGCTTGGGGAAAACCCTTCTTCACTTTAAAAGGAGGTTTCCATCAGGACTGTTGTTTGAGAAATGCAACTTTTGGGTCTTTGAGGAGGAGAGATGAGGAGGATCAAACCAAGTGGGCTGTTTTAAAATTCCTTCCTTCCTTCCTTCCTTCCTTCCTTCCTTCCTTCCTTCCTTCCTTCCTTCCTTCCTTCTCTCCTCTCCACGCCCCTTTACCCTTCCTACTCTTCCTTCCTTCCTTCCTCTCCTCTTTACCCTTCCTTTCTCTCCTCTTCCTTCACCCTTTCCTTTCCTTCCTTCCTTCCTTCCTTCCTTCCTTCCTTCCTTCCTTCCTTCCTTCCTTCCCTCCTCTCCTCTCCCCTTTACCCTTCCTTTCTCTACTCTTCCTTCACCCTTTCCTTTCCTTCCTTCCTTCCTTCCTTTCCTCTCCACTCCCCTTTACCCTTTCTTCTCTTCCTTCCTTCTCCTCTCCTCTCCCCTTTACCGTTCCTTTCTCTACTCTTCCTTCGCCCTTTCCTTTCCTTTCCTTTCCTTCCTTCCTTCCTTCCTTTCCTCTCCACTCCCCTTTACCCTTCCTTTCTCTCCTCTTCCTTCACCCTTTCCTTTCCTTTCCTTCCTTCCTTCCTTTCCTCTCCACTCCCCTTTACCCTTTCTTCTCTTCCTTCCTTCTTCTCCTCTCCTCTCCCCTTTACCGTTCCTTTCTCTTCTCTTCCTTCACCCTTTCCTTCCCCTCCTTCCCTTCCTTCCTTCCTTCCTTCCTTCCTTCCTTCCTTCCTTCCTTCCTTCCTTCCTTCCCTTCTTTCCTCTCCTCTCCTCTCTCCTTTACCCTTCCTTTCTCTTCTCTTCCTTCACCCTTTCCTTCCCCTCCTTCCCTTCCTTCCTTCCTTCCTTCCTTCCTTCCTTCCTTCCTTCCCTTCTTTCCTCTCCTCTCTCCTTTACCCTTCCTTTCTCTTCTCTTCCTTCACCCTTTCGTTTCCCTCCTTCTCTTCTTTCCTTCCTTCCTTCATCCACCCATCCATCCATCTGGCTGGGGAATTCTAAGAGTTCACACATCTTAAAATTGCTGAAATTGAGAAACACTGTGTGAAGTCAAGCAAACCTATCCAATCTCATATTCGGGAATAACCACAAGCGTGTTGCGCTTTTAACGGGACTTACTTGGTGTCCAGTGGTTTGATGCTATGGAAGTACTGATGCATAGAATGATAGAAGAGACCCACAATTGTAATCCAGGCTGTAAAGAAGGCAAAATTTGTCAGTATCGGGATCACAGTAATGCAGGAGGTGAAACCCAGTACTTAAAGCTACTTTGGATGCCAATAACTTTATCCTTTTTCATCCTAGGTCACTACTGCTCTAACTGTTGTAAGCCACCCAGGGTCTCTTGAATAGTGAAATGATATATACATTTAATAAATTACATAAATAAATAATATCAAGGTTTGACTCTGAGGAGACCCTCTACAGCAGGGGTTCCCAACTCCTGGTCCGTGGACCAGTATCGGGCTGCAGCATGTCAGCAACCGGTCTGCACAAACAAGGAAAGCCCCATCCACAGGATGCAGGCAGCACACAAAACCACGCCCCCTCCAATCCATGAAAAAACCTCTCTCCATGTAACTGGTCCCTGGTGTCCAAAAGGTTGGGGACCTCTGCTCTATAGCCTGTAGATCATTGTGAAAAATGGTTTGAAAAATAGGAAGGATTGGTGTGAATTTGTCACCAGTTGAGACAAATGAAAGAAGTTAAAGGGCTCAACAATTCATTCATCTATTGGAAAATCTTGATTGGAGCTGCAAAAATCACAATGACCACTAGATGGCAAAGCGGGATGGGGAAAAAAGTAACTCTTTGCTGCCTTCCAATGGCCATACCGATTTTTGCAAGGCAAGGAACAATTCGGTTTCCCATTTCCCCTCGGTTAACAGGTTTCTTAGCAATCCAAACAGGGACAGATGTATTTGACCCAATCATCAGAAGAAGAGCAATTCAGAAAAAAAGCTGGTTTCTCCTGGCCCCTTTCTTGACCTACCAGATGGGCTGGATGTTAATTCCCAGAATCCCCAGCCATATGGTGGGAAACCTTGGCTGGCAGGAGAAAGCCAAAGGCAGCAGATTTTGACCTTTCTTTTCTTCTACTAAATTATTCCCTTACCTGAATATTGGAAAGCTTCTCTGGGTATAGAAATATAACTCTGTCCTTGTAATGGAAAGCGATATTGAGGCACATTCGGGAGCTGAGGAGGCATTTTAACCAGGGAATAATCTGTATAATAATGCAAACATTGATCAAAACCCGAAGGAAAAGGAGAGCAAAGCCATTCGTTAGTACCTGCTTATTGTTGAGCCCCCAGGTCTGTTCCTTTAACATTTTTAGCAATCAGGGTTCTTTTGAAACAAACCAGCAGGGGGAAAAAATATACTAGAGTTTTAAGCAGAAAAGAAGAGGAAACTTTATCATTTTGCAACAGGTTAAAAATAAAAATAAAAATGGAGAACCAATGAGAGAGAAATGTGGGGGAAGGTTTTCGGTTCTTTGTGGTTTTGTGGTGACCGGCTTACATTTTAATCTATACTGCTAAGTGTGGAATTTTAATCTGCTTCCAGCCCATGGCAAAAAGACCTGGAAGAACCAAGGCTGATGCATGATACTGGAGATATATCCACCAGCAGGCTCATCTACAGACAACACAATGCTTGTGTGAAGGGCAAGACCTTAAGAAAACCCATTTTGGTTCAAACATCTCACCCCTATGCTGGAAATGTAAAACAGCAATAGGTTCATACTACCAGATGTGGTGGGAATGCCCAAAGACTCGTGAGTATTGGAACAGGACACGAAACTGGTTGAGGGATATATTAACACTGGACTTAGAGTTAAAACCTGAACTCTCCTCGTTGGGAATAATGACAAAAAAATACGACAAGGGAACAATCTACCTGCTGCTACACATCCTGACTGCAGCTAGGCTTGCTTTCGCGCAAAAATGGAAGAGCAAGGAAATTCCCACAGAGGAAGAATTAATACCTAAAATATTAGCATGTGCGGAAATGAACAGGCTCACAATGATATTAAAAGACAAATGTGGATCAGTTTATTATGAAACCTGGGATAAATTCTACCACTGGAGGAATTTGAAGAGGACGGTCGGGGTTAAAGATGAATGTTAAGGTAGAAATATATGTTATTTTAGAACAAGTATTGTATATAAAACTTAAATGTATATGTAGAGATGAAGAATTGATTGTAAAAAGTGGAATAATCTGATAAGAATGTATATACTGGAATGTCACGTTAAATCCAATGTTTGTTTGTTTTTAACTGTATTATAAATAAAATTTGATTAAAAAAAAAGAAAAGAAAACCCATTTTGGAAAGATCTAAACTAAGTCAACCGAGGCTGACATTTCTTTTCTATTCTTCATTTCTCCTTCCTTTCCTGGATTCATCACAGGTGTTCCTCAAGGAAGGACGAGTTTTCCATCCCCGTGAAAACGGGAAAGGAAAAATTCGTGTCCTCCTTCAGTCAGTGAAAAGCCACAAAGGTGGCTTTGTTCAATTATTCATCCTCCTGTTGTCGGAGAACGAAACTGAGCCCCATAAATCTCACCTGCGACAGGTGAAGTGCCTTGGACTGTGATGGTCGAAGGGCTTTCTCCTAGATTGCGTGCGACGTGAAATGTCACACTGTCGATGGTGGACACCAGCCCTCCGGCGAGGGATGCGGTCTGAAAGCAGAAATGACAACGCGGGAGTGATACAGCAAGCGATGGAGGCCTCGACTCCAGGAGAACCCCAAGAATGTCTCGGAAAATGTTATCCTTACGTGGTTCATGCTGATCCAAGCAGCTATCTTGAGAACTCTTTCTACCACTTTGAAGAAAACCTACAGATAAAAAGAAACGGGTTATTTGCTATGATGTGATCACCACCACCATTATCCATTACCTAGTGTGATGATGATAGATAATAGATAGATAGATATAGTAGATGATAGATAGATAGATAGATAGATAGATAGATAGATAGATAGATAGATGATAGTTGATAGACACACAGAGAGATAAGGATTCCAATGCCTGCTTTCCCATGCTCCACTTTTGAGACCTACATAAGCTGCAATCAAATGATTTTTCATAAGGACTTGGGACCTTGTACCAAAATCTTTTTAGAAAATTCAGGAGTATGGCAAGGGAGGCATTGAGTTTCACTTTTTCTTCATTCATGCAAAAAAAAAAATGTTTTATACTTTCTGTTTCTGCATGGCTGTGCCCACAAGACATGACTGCCACATTTCCATAAAGACAGTTTGTATCATCCCCCAGAAATACTGAAGCTCTTTTAAACCTTTTAAAGGCTTTGAAGCATCAAGAACAGAACTGTGCTTTAAATGTCTCACATCAAAATATTTTTTAAAGTCCTAAATCCATTGACAGTGCTTGCTGATACATATTCATATGTTCCTTTCCCATTCTGCAGTCTTCAGAAACGGATTGAGATCTGTGGAGTCCCTAACACTCTAAATGAAACAAGAGAACCAACCTAGAACTAAGGAGAAATTTCCTAATAGTGAGGATGATTAATCAGAATTCTTGAGAAATTGTTGGTGTCCATCACTAGAGTCCTTCAAGAAGAGATAGGACAACTTTTTGTCTGAAATTGTATATAAGCGGTATATAAGTCTCATAAATAAATAAATAAATAAATTGTGTAGGGTCTTCTGCTTGAGCAGGGGGCTGTACTAGAAGACCTCCAAAACAACTTGTCGCTCATGAACCATTTTGATGTTGGGGCTGCCTTCCACTGCTCACATATGCCTGTGTCTTCATCATAGCATCATAAACTGTGTGAAAGAGACTCATTTATATATGATTCATTTATATATGATTTGTGTGTGTGTGTGTTGAAAAGAATTCACTCACTGGAATTCTTCTATAAGATACTGCTTTCATCTTAATAAATCTCGATAAAGAAGAATCCGTGAAATTCAGGCTTGCAATCACTTGCAATCCCAGCAATCAGTCAAAGATGAGAACATAAACGTATATCACTCTTTTTTTGACTTGCACAGCTGTACTATGCATTTCTTTTGTTAGACGAGGGATGAATGGGTGGGTGGATGGGTGGTGGATGGATGGAATGTAGACGTGATAGATATCCTGCTTCATACATTTGAAAGATTGGATTGCAATTCATTCATGTTCTCTTCCTAGGCATCTGTAGAAGCCATGTTGACCTCGAGCACATTATGATGTCATAGCTCAAATGACATGAATTTCACTAATCAATGACCTCATAACACAAGTGATGTCACTTGTCCCCTGGCAGGTGCCCAATCTCTCTTGAATCCCGGAATAGAAGAGAAGAGAAGAGAAGAGAAGAGAAGAGAAGAGAAGAGAAGAGAAGAGAAGAGAAGAGAATAAAGGAATGGAATGGAATGGAATGGAATAGAATAGAATAGAATAGAATAGAATAGAATAGAATAGAATAGAATAGAATAGAATAGAATATTTTTATTGGCCAAGTGTGATTGGCACACAAGGAAAATGACACTAGTGCCAGTTTCTATAAGGTAGAAATGAAAACAGTTTTATTTGACTAAAACAAGATGGGAACCTGCTTACAGTGCACTGCCTAATAACTAAAGGATGTTTCCCTCTATAAATTGATTAATTACCTTAGTAAGCTGATTAGCAGATGAAAGAAAGTTACCTTAGTAAAGTTGATTTTTTAAAAAATGGGGGGAAATTACCTCTGTAAATTAGGAAATGGCCTCAATAAGCAGATTAACAGATGAAGAAAAATTACCTCAGTAAGATTGTAGGCCGTATTTGCTGTGAGAGATTCATTAGGCATGGCGTTTGAAATGTTTTTCAGATAGTCCAACGTGACATATGGGTCCTGGACAATATGTTTTCCCTCTGTGAGATTAGTTATGATGGATTGGTAGGCATTTATGGAAAGCTGTAAGCACAGAATAACAGAACACTGAAAGGTCCTTCTCTGACTCAATATTGACCAAGGAAACGACCGTCTTCTTTGATACATTTACTAGATAATCATTTTTAATTTATTTTATTTATTTTATTTTCAGGGTCTAGGCTGGCAAGGAAATCTATTCTGTCTGGAGGTCCTCCCTGCAAAATTCAGCTTCCTGGGTAATCCATTTTATTTAGTTTATTTTATAAATATTCTATCTGGCCTTCCAAGCCATTGATAAAGCTTGAGAGGTGGTTTCCACTTTAAATGGAGTAAAATGCAATTCAGATGCTGGTGGAATCCAATTACCTTAACTCAAATGTCTATTACAACTTTTCCTTTGAGAAAATTCCACTGCCAAAATAGCTCATTTCTCTGACTGACCCAGCTTGCAATAAAGTTTTAATCTCAACCGTGAAAGGTCTCCACAGCTCATAATGTCCAATAGTTGCCTCCATTTTCCCTTCAGCTCCTATCTACAGCCTTGAACTTGGGCATCTCTGGAGCAAGTCCATCCCACCACACTACAATATGTACAAATTATGCATTTTAGAGAAAATAGCATGCAAATATGACAAGAGTATGTCAAACTGAACACAGTACGTGCAGGTTTCGAGGCGTTTTTTTTTTTCCCAGTTCACATTGGGATGCAGAAATCGAGTGGAATACAGTTGACATAAATGGGAAGCACAGATTTTGACCTCAGAGTTAAGCCTTATAGGAAGATCAAAGCTTTTAGGTTACTTTTCTCCTTTTTACTGGCTGGAAACTTGGAATGATATAACTTTTTTTTCCCCCTCTAACATAAGCAACCTGGCAATGCAACGGAAAGAATGTAAGGAATGCACCTACCACGGGAAGGGTTGCTGTTGTTTGCCATCCCCACGGAGATGTTGAAGCAAGCACTGCTTGGTCACCTAGAAACCACAGTGAGAAACATTAACCAGGACTTTCCCTTTTGGTACCAAGAACTGGGGTGGGGGATATAATCCAAGGTAAAAGTTGGTGTTATCCAGAAGAAAAGTTGAACGGCTGAAAAGTGAGGCTAGCTAACACTCTCCCCCTGTTGTGGAATGAACAGATGGTTGACATCACCAGCATATTTTCGATAACCAATTATTTTCAGGAGCACCACCTCCCTGAAGTACTTTCCTGCAGACTCAATTTTTCTCAATTTTGGCTTTTAGGAATTATGGTCACACCGTGGCCCTTTCCGTCTCTGCATCACCATTCATTTTTAACGTGAAATCTTGTTTGGCTAAGTTAGGTTCTCATTTTGTGGTCTAGATTTAGCGGAAGAGAAGATGGGGATACAAGAGATAAACTGGAGGGGAGATGACATAGAAATGGATACAATGAAAAATTCACTTCGGTATCCAGAAAAACGCCACTGAAAAGTTCAAAATCGTGTAAATATCTGGGCTGGCTAGTTCCTTGCAGAAAACAGCTTCTTGAGACAGTATTTTGGATATTGTAATCTGGGCTAGCTAATTCGTTGGGGGAAATGGCTTCTTGAGACAGTGTTTTGAATATTATGATAATCCCAATGAAGGCCACAGTTTAGCAAAAGGAGAAATCATTTGCTTTCAGGAAAACCACATTAAATCCCTAGCCTTGACATCTGTGAGTAGATGATCAGGATGTGAAGGGGGGGGGGAAGTTCTGTGGCAAAATTATGTTGTTAGATACACTAGGAAAGATGGACAAATAATCTGATTTTTGTACCGGTTATGTCAGAAGCCTACACAGCTCTTCTAACCCCTAAATATTGAATGAGGTGATTTTCTCCCTCAAAATGAGAATGGTCTCCTGGTGTTTTGAGGGTGTCTCTGTCACAACACAGTCATCTTATCCAGCCTTTGCAAAATCTGATTAGGAGTTAAGATTTCCCGACTCGGTGGAAATCCTCCCTCATATCACTGAGGACATTGAGCATTCTGTTCAAGGTTCAAACCAGACAAGATATTCAACTCCCCTTGTTGGGGTGAAACTTACCAATAGCAGCTGTGAAATACTGCTTGATCTCGTTGGCGGTGAGCACTCTTTCCCATATGATGAATTCGTCAAAGACACCATGGATGAACCGTTTCCTTTGACGGCCTTCGGAGCCCATCAACAAGTTGGAATTAGAGTCCCCATAGTTGTAGAAATCTTCCCCACGGGGATCAACGTTGTTCAAAGTCCCGTTGATGTAGACTTTCAGGCCCTCTTTAGATTTCCAGGTAAACAGGATATGAGTCCAATGGGGACCTGAAAAACAGTGGACATTTAAAGCAAAAAAGTTTTGGGTTAAGATACATACAGTACATGGTTGGAAAAGATGATTAAAAAACAGAATTCAAACCAGAACTGTATTTGTTAGGAGTATTAGGACCTAATTATGAGAAGGAAAATGAATACCTAATATTGCATGTATTAACAGCAGCGAGAATTGTATTTGCCCAATATTGGAAAAATGAAAATTTACCAACTGAAGAGGTATTAATTAAGAAAATATTAGAATGTGCAGAAATGGATAGATTGACTTTAGCAATAAAAGAGAAAGAAGATTCAGTCTACTTTAGAACATGGGATAACTTCTATCAATGGTTAGGAAAACGAACTAGTGAGAAACGAAGGTGATATGTTATTTTGAATACATACCAGAAAGAAGAATGTTATGCACTGATTAATTAATACTGTCTATGATAATCAATCATACTCACTACAGTTATCTATTATTATATTAATTATTGTTACCTAAACAATATGTACCCGGACAATAGTCTGTTTGCTAAATATTGAAAATTTTTCTGGGGGATAATCCCAATGCTGACCCCAACCTGGTCCTAATTCCAATCCCGACCCCAACCTCACCCTAAACCCCAATCCCTTCCCCGACCCTATTTTATCCCTAACCCTATAAAATTTAATATATTTTTTTTTAAAAAAAGAAAAAGAATGGACATTTAGGTGATGTGTCAGGCCCACTTTAACACCTCATCCTAAGAAAGCAGAACTCGTGGAAGCGGTTTCTTCCAAAAGGAACTTTTATTAGGAGAAGCTGACAGCAGGCATAATAGACAGGATCTGAGGGTTTCCCGCTCAGATTGATAGGTTAAAAGTGTCCCAAGCAAACCCCACCCCAATAGTTCATCTGGTCAGTTCAAATGGGCCAATCCCCAGATGTTAAGTCCGTTGTGAGAAAATGCTCATAATGCTAGTCCGTCTCAGGGTTGTAGTGGTGTTTGTTGGGTCTTTGCACCTTCCCTTCCGGAACAGGAGATAAGCCAGATGCCCGGAGGCGCATTCCTTTCTCCCCCCTTCGAGCTGACATCAAGGGGGAAAGACAGTTCAAAGAGTGTGTATGCAGAGAAAGTGAAAGAGTTACACTGTAGCCATTGTTGTTGTTAATTGCGAAGTCGTGTCCAACCCATCGCAACCCCATGGACAATGTTCCTCCAGGCCTTCCTGTCCTCTACCATCTTCTGGAGTCCCTTTAAATTCACGCCTACTGCTTCAGTGACTCCATCCAGCCACCTCATTCTCTGTCATCCCCTTCTTCTATTGCCCTCAATCTTTCCCAACATTAGGCTCTTCTCCAGTGAGTTTTTTCTTCTCATTAAATAGCCAAAGTATTTGAGTTTCAGCTTCAGGATCTGGCCTTCTAAAGAGCAGTTGGGTTTGATCTCTTCTAGGACCAACTGGTTTGAATGCCTTGCAGTCCAGGGGACTCACAGGAGTCTTCTCCAGTACCATAGTTCAAAGGCCTCAATTCTTCGTCACTCGGCCTTTCTTATGGTCCAACTTTCACATCCGTACATTGCAACTGGGAAAACCATGGCCTTGACTACACGCACTTTTGTTGGCAGGGTGTAGCCATAGAGAACAACAAAGAGGCAGCCCGCGGCATCTTCCCCCTCCCTTCCAGGAGTAGGACAGGACCCAGAAGAATAGAAAGAATAGAATTAGAAAGAGCCCTTTAAACAATATGAGTCCTGACATGATGTCTCAATTTAAAGTAAGAGCCAAGGTGGCGCAGCAGTTAGAGTGCAGTACTGCAGGCCACTTTAGCTGACTGTGTTCAGCAGGTCAGCAGTTCAAATCTCACCGGCTCAAGGTTGACTCAGCCTTCTATCTTTCCGAGGTAGGTAAAATGAGGACCCAGATTGTTGGGAGCAATGTAAATATATATATACATTGCTTACTGGTGTACACCGCTTAGAGAGTGCTTGCACTTAAAGCGGTATATAAGTCTCATAAATAAATAAATAAATAAATTTGTACCTTTCAGTAATAAGTGATCCTTGACTCCATTTCTTGAGAAAGATATAGCTTATTAAAGGTCAAGTAAAGCAAAGCCAGAAGGGAGGGTTGTGTGCCAAAACTTTACATTTAAACTTCCCCTTCTCGGATACATCCCCCCCACCCCCATCATCCAATCAGTTTCAAAGAATATGTCTTTGAGTGTTCTGAATGCAAGTTGTCTTGCAGCTGCAATCTCTCACCAAAGAAATGGCCTTGAGAGATTTCTCCAATGGTACAGCCTCAATTCAACCCCCCAAGTCTTCCCACTCTCTGTTGCCCCCTCCCTTCCAAGGTGTATGGCAAACGAGCACCAAACACAGAAAAGTATTGGGGTGATTTGACAGTTCTGACAGGTGACGTCATTGTAATGGTAGGTGAGAATGGCCTTGGCAGACAGGAGGAAGACCTGAAGATGAGGCAATGTTAAGATCAGAGACAGCTGAATCTGCAGAAGAAATAAGGGCCTGGCAAGTGTCCAACACTAGGGACCCTCCCTAGTTGCTTGGGCTGCAAAGGAGAAGAGGGCGAGGCGTCCTTTCAGACCTGCAAGACCCCGCTAATGTAACCTCACAACAAGTAGCAGAAACCAACGGTGGATTTCTTGCCTTCCGTAGTTAACATTTTTGGTTACCTGAATAGTTTTGACAACTCAATTACGTTTTGTTGTTTTTAAGAATATTGCCGATGCCTCCTGAATCCCACAGCTCAGTTCTCCATAGACATAACGATCATTATGTATAAATGATTATGAATGCGTCGGGTTTACAAATGAGCCAGTGCATTTATTTCCGCCCATTTCCAATTAAGCTAAAATGTTAATTTTGCAGCTCTTGTGTTATTTTTTTTTTCCTTCGCCAAGGCTTTGCGTCACAGGAGCCGTGGTAGCGCAGTAGTTAGAATGCAGTATTGCAGGCTGACTCTGCCCACTGCCAAGAGTTTGATCCTGACTGGCTCAAAATTGACTTCTGAGGTGGGTAGAATAAAGACCCAGATTGTTGGGGGTAATTGCAATAAAGCATTATGAAATAGTATAAGTCTAAGAGTGTTATTGCTATTTAAAGACCTTCTGACCTATAAATACATTTGCTTTTGATCATATACCACAGCTCAGAGTTCCCCAATCTTGGCAACTTTAAGATGCGTGGACTTCAGCTCCCAGAATTCCACAACCCGCATGACTGGCTGGGGAATTCTGAGAGCTGAAGTCCACTGCAGAAACACTGCCGTAGCTATCGATTCAAGGAATGCATGCATCTTAGGAGGGAAAAATACCTGGCAAAATGAAACTGGCTGCCCATTTCTTGGACGTGTGGTGATTGAAGAGTTCCACGGAGCCTTTGTGTTCGCCGAAGAAGACTTTAAATCTGTTAGAAAGCACCTGATCCCCGTATACCGGGACTGGCTTCAGCTGATGCCCTTGGGTCTTCCAGAAGAAGGAAAAAGTCACACCTAATGGAACCAAAAGACACAGAAGAAGGATTGCCAGTTGCATCTTTTAGGCTTGGAGAAAAATCTATATCGTACAATGGGAGAGAAATACATTTAGGTAGTCCGTGACTTACAATGCTACTGAGCTCAAAATTTCTCTTGCTAAGTGAGGAATTTGTTAAGTGAGCATTGCCCCTGCAGTTGTTAACTTAGTAGTACAGTTGTTCAGTGAATCTGGCATCCCCGTTGACTTTGCTTATCACAAGGGATTCCATGATCCTGGGACATGGCCACCATTGTAAATATGAGTCGGTTGCCAAGCATTGGAATTTTGACCGTGTGACCACGGGGATGCCACAATAGTCATCAGTGTGAAAAATGGTCATAAGTCATTTTTCCCCCCAGTGTCGTATCTTTGAATGGTCTATTGTAAGACGGGGACTGGCTGTACTTCAAAGAGTTTTGGTTTGCCGCTGATTCACGAGTGCAAATTTAGACACATTCCTATAAAATAGCAAGGAAAACACTCCTCTCCTCACTGTGTTGTTATGACAGGTGTGCTTATCTTTATATGAATTCTCTAGAATGACGGTTAGCACTCAGGATTGTTATCACCGTCCCTCATATTTTTGGATATCAAGACCATTAGTGATGATGGTGTGGTGGTTAGAATGCAGTATTGCAGGCTAACTCTGCCAACTGCCAGCAGTTCATTTCTCAATGGCTCAAGGTCAACTCAGCCTTCCGTCCTTCCGAGGTCGGTAAAATGAGGACCCAGATTGTTGGGGGGCAATAGGCTGACTCTGTAAACTGCTTAGAGAGGGCTGTAAAGCACTGTGAAGAGGTATATAAGTCTAAGAGTTATTGCTAGTGCTATTGCTCCTTCCTTCCTTCCTTCCTTCCTTCCTTCCTTCCTTCCTTCCTTCCTTCCTTCCTTCCTTCCTTCCTTCCATTATGTGCAGTGGTTAGGATGCAGTATTGCAGACTAATTCTGTCGACTGCCAGCAGTTCAATCCTGACCGGCTCAAGGTTGACTCAGCCTTCCATCCTTCCAAGGTTGATAAAAGGAGGACCCAGATTGTTAGGGGGCAATAGGCTGACTCTGTAAACCACATAGAGAGGGCTGTAAAGCACCGTGAAGCGGTCTATAAGTCTAAGTGTTAAGTGCTATTATAGCAGTGATTCTCAACCTTTCTAATGCCATGACCCCATAATACAGTTCCCCATGTTGTGGTGACCCCCAAGTGGGTGTGGCCACCAATAAGAGGGAGTAGGACAGCTAGGGAAAGGGGAAAAAAATGGTGGACAGCATGGTTTGGTGACCCCCGTGAAATGGTCATTCGACCCCAAATGGGGTCCCGACCCACAGGTTGAGAACCACTGTATTATAGGGTTTCAATGGGTGAGAAATTCATTCCCTTGTCGCCTCTGGAAGGACACCATGGATTAACAAGGCTGTTTTAACTTTAAAAGTAAATTTACAGGATGTTAGGCCGGATCTTGATCGAAACAAGTGGATGCAGATCCTTGGAGATATTCCATGCTCAGAGCCAGCCCTGTTCTTATCCAGCAAGGTTTATCACTCGGCCCATAAACAAGATAAGATGGTCCTAAGGGGAAATGCCTTGATGATACATTAAGACAGATCCAGGGGAAAGATATTACAATCCACGGAGGAAACTGCTGAACTAAACCATTAGCTGCAAACTCTGGATGGACTCTATCTAGGGAATTCCCAATCCTGGGCCCGTTATTTTAAGCCTGTGGTTAGTTACAGCCGTAAACAAATATGCATAATTTATCCAGCAGGCTGCTTTGCCATTTCCTAAGCAAATAATTTGGAAGTAAACCCGTTACGAACAATTTGCATAACCGCTAAGGCCTAGAAGAGATTTTACGATTCCCTTAAAATGCGGCTCGGCGAAACATCCTTCTCCCCCTCCCCTCCCCTCCCCCCCCCCCAGTCGTGTTGCCAGAATAAAATTAATGAAATAAAATAGGAACGTATATCAAAACCACGGCAATGGGGAGAATCTCCTACTAACCTTCAGGCTCACAGAAGTCTTGGTTAATAATGCAGGAGTTTTGATAATTGCCGAAAAGGAGGAAGGTGGCTCCCTTGACGCTTGGGATATAGATACCTTTGTTTACAATGCCTTCTACGATATCTAAGGGAGGAAAAGGGAGGAAAAAAATATGACAATATTCCAGTTGGCCCTACCACTCGGAAGGATGACCAGAACAGCTTTTTTATTATTATTTTTAACCCCACTAAACACCAGGAATCCTCTCAAAGGTGCTTTTTTCAAGAGGCAATTGGACTGTTTTTTTTTTCTGGAGGAGGAGTAAGAATAGGGAGAGAGAGAGGGAGAGGGAGAGGAAGGAGGAGGAGGAGGAGGAGGAGGAGAAGAAGAAGAAAAAGAAGAGTAATAAAAAAATCTTTCAGGGAGTACAAGGCCACTGTAAGCCAAAAGAAGAAGAAGAAGGAGAAGGAGAAGAAGGAGGAGGAGGAGGAGGAGGAGGAGGAGGAGGAGGAGGAGGAGGAGGAGGAGAAGAAGAAGAAGAAGAAGAAGAAGAAGAAGAAGAAGAAGAAGAAGAAGAAGAAGAAGAAGAAGAAGAAAAAGAAGTAGAAGAAGAAGAAGAAGAAGGAGAAGTAGAAGAAGAAGAAGAAGAAGAAGACGAAGAAGAAGAAGAAGAAGAAGAAGAAGAAGAAGAAGAAGAAGAAGAAGAAGAAGAAGAAGAAGAAGAAGAAGAAGAAGAAGAAGAAGAAGAAGAACCTAATGCCATCGCTTTGGTTCCCTCTTAGAAGGAGGAGGAGGAAGAAGAGGAGTTTGGATAGCCACTTGAATGGTATAAGGTCTCCTGCTTGAATAGGAGTTGATAAGAAGACCTCCAAGGTCCCTTCCAGCACTATTCTGAATTGAAGAAGCTTCATCCATTGTTGAACAACTGATAAACAAACAAACAGTGGATGGACCTTCTTGGTGAGAAGGAAAATGTCTTCTTCTTCTTCTTCTTCTTCTTCTTCTTCTTCTTCTTCTTCTTCTTCTTCTTCTTCTTCTTCTTCTTCTTCTTCTTCTTCTTCTTCTTCTTCTTCTTCTTCTGCTTCTTCTTCTTCTTCTTCTTCTTCTTCTTCTTCTTCTTCTTCTTCTTCTTCTTCTTCTTCTTCTTCTTCTTCTTCTTCTTCCTTCTCCTCCTCCTCCTTGGAAAAAACAGCCCAGTTACCTTTTGAAAAAAAGCACCTTTGAGACAACTATGACCCGGATGACTGAGAATCTTCATAGACACCAAGAATCATCCTTCTTCTTCCAGCCATTCATGAGGAACCGTTTCCAAATGGAGGGGGCAGAGTTTCCCCTAAATTTGGCAGAAAGATACGAGGAAACGTGGTCTCTCACAAGAAACAGGCTGCCTGAAAGGAGGAGGACAGACTGTGGACTTCGGATGTTGAGTAAACATAGGTATATTTGCCAAATCAAGTCAAATCAAAGTTGGATTTTCTTTCAAGGCTGAGGTTCTTGAAGGACCCATGCTGGCTTGGCTCGTGCATCACTTGAAAGCATAAATCAGGAAGACAGAGAAATAAGGGTTTTGTTTTTTCCATTTTACAGGATTTTGACAAGCCAGAACTGCCACAGCTAAGACAACAATACCAGAACATCAAACAGGTCGATGGACTCAAGAGATTATCTGTAGTTTTCGCTTGGGTTATTTAGTTTCTGTTCTCTAAGAAACTTTCTTTAAGCTCCATGTTAAAGGAAGGAAGGAAGCTTATCTTTCAACCAAACTGGATTTCAAGACCAAAAGCCCCTTCATAATGACCTGGAGTACGGCAAAGTCAAACGTAAGCCTGAATGGCCAAACTTGACAAATATAGGAAAGGATCATCTAGGTTTCTCACCTACGGTTGCGGAGAAGTTAGAGTAGGCAGAATCATTGGTATAAACAAAAGTAGAATTATGGTAATGAAGCACAGTGAAGCTGTGGGATCTGAGCACTGCATGGGGAGAAGAAAGAAAACAAACAACAATGGAATGGAAAAGCAACACCATGAATTTATGCAAGATGGATATGAATCGACCAGACCATGTCTCTCAATCAACATCATTGCAAAGAACCCACTGAGAGTTTGATTCATCCTACAGCTTTTTAAGATTTCTTCAACCCCCTCTCAATCTTCAGTAATAATATGATAGGAAAGACACTTCCTGAAATATATGTCTTACAAAAAGAAAATTACACGTACAGGTGTCTGAAGCTGAAGATTGACTTGGAAAGAAGGTTCTCTGGACCTTGATAAATGAAAACTAGGTTTAGTAAACATGTGTTACTAAAACTAGGTTTAGTAAACATGGGTGAAACATGTGTGAATTTTTCCATGTTTGCACATGGAAAAATAAACACTTATGGCTACATAACCATTAGTATTCACCACCTAAACCATCTGAACAGATTTGGAATCTCCCATTTATGTTTCACAGCCAATCCCTGTTAAAGCCTTTTAGAGTTTATGCTAACAAAAAATATATATATATACTGGATATTCTGTTCTGCAATTGTTTTGCTGCAGCAAAAGGACAACATGAGTATTGTACAGGGTTTTTGTCCGGGAGTCAAGTTGAAAATGCCCATCTCTGCAAAGGCATGCCATTGAGAGAGATAGAACTGGAATTGTCTTTGTGAAGGTGCCAAACACAAACACACACAATGGATAAACATGGCAGGCAAAGTTGACAATGTTTGAAGGATTGATGAATGACAAAGGTGGAGTGAACAGCATGAATGCTTGGTGGAAAGCCACGAGAAGGATGGGAAGAAATATCAGTGGATGGTCTCTCCCAAAGCTGTGGAGTTGGGAGTGCAATATCACAACCAGGAATGGGTAATCTTTGGTAACACTGGACCAAATCTTCTTTATCTTCGGGGTCCAGGTTTACTGCCAAAACAAGGCATACAGTCCAATCACACGACTGCTCAGAAGTAACCCGAGTGGCTTGCATCACTTTTGGAACCATCTGACCTAAAGATACATCTACAGGAAAATAATTACATGGAATACAACAGATAGGTCTACATAATACATATACTGGAAACGAAATAGTCCCTGCTGTTCTTCTCTCTCCCTGCCAGCCAACTCCAACAGAATTTTCTATCATGAAGCAAACTAAAATTTCTTTTAACCTGAGAGGGGGTTTTGGCCACTGGAAAAGGGAGGGAAGGAAAGGTAGATGGATCCCATTTATTCACTGGATCAAGGCAAAATGGCATTCCCACAGCACAGATCCTGCACCTTCTGATGCTCTGATCATAACTTGTGGAGACTTTGATGCTCTCTGAGTGTAACTGTTTCCTTGCAGTTTTATGACTCAATGAGGCAACATCACCAGAGCTTGAAGGGAGTGGAAACTGTGGAGAGGAGGTGGAGGAGGAGGAGGAGGTGGAGGTGGAGGAAGAGGAGAAGGATGAGAAGGATGAGGAGACAACTGGACAGCCACTTGTCTGAAATGGTATAGGGCAGGGGTAGGCAACCTTGGCTCTTTTATGACTCGTGGACTTCAATTCCCAGAATTCCTGAGCCAGCCATGCTAGCTCAGGAATTCTGGGAGTTGAAGTCCACGCGTCATGAAAGAGCCAAGGTTGTCTACCCCTGGTATAGGGTCTTCTGCATAAGCAGGGAATTGGACTAGAAAACCTCCTTTCTTGTTACCTAGTTGGGTCATGAAACATCTGCAAGAAAACCAAGCTCAGAAACCACACCAAAGCTCAACCTTCAGCTACAAATATTCTTTTCTATCGGTATCATATCTTATTCTCGGAGGCCCTATTCTTCAGTCTACCTCCATCGGTGTCCTTTAATTCGTGGATTCCTTCTACAGTCTCCAGAGGCCAATACTGCGACGCTTGAGCGAGAACACGGAAGCCTGTCAAGAAAGGACAGCAGGACCAAGGTCATCCCCTTCGTGAAAAACTCAAACAATTGCCAGCTATTTCTTTATTTATCTTCCCCTCCCTTCTGCTTCGATTTGCTTTGGCTTCTCTTGAGTTAAATTTCAAATTGAAAAATGCTCGGGACATGGACCTGAAGATGGGAGAACGTGTCCTCCATTCCTCCATTTCTAACTCTGATAAGATCGCTTGATGTATATTTTTTGAGAAGATTCTAGGCATCTCCTACCCTACTCAACAAATGATTGAGCTTGTTTGGAGGTTCTAGCAGGGGAGAGCAGCTATCGTATACCCTTGACCGAAGATCGGTACACTCCTTCTATCTGGGATGGTCGTCCTCTTCCACCGAGCGCGCAGCTTCAGGAGGAACACACATGGAGAAGTGAGGAAGGGGATACCCGCTTGGCCAGCCAGATCAGCCGAATCAACCCTGGCAATAATGGGATGACAGATGTCCCAGCCAGATCGCTCTCACATCCAACAAATTATTGAAACTCTTTGGTCTTTCAAAGACCCATTTCATCATGGGGAGGGGGGGGGGATTGACAATTCAAGTTGGAGACTCTGAAAAAAGTGCAGAAAAGAGCAACAGAGATGATTAGGGGACTGGAGACTAAAACATATGAAGAACGGTGGCCAGAATTGCGTATGTCTAGTTTAACAAAAAGAAGGACTACAGATGACATGATAGCAGTCTTCCAGTATTTGAAGGGCTGCCACAATAAAGAGGGGAACAACCTATTCTCCCAAACATCAGAAGGCAGGACAAGAAGCAATGGATGGAAACAACTGAAGGAGGGAACCAACCGAGAACTAAGGAGAAACATTCTAACAGTGAGAACAATTAACCAGTGGAATGGCTTGCCTCCAAAAGTTGTGGGTGCTCCATCACAGGAGGCTTTTAAGAAGAGACTCAACAGCCACTTGTCTGGAATGGTATAGGATCGCCTGCTTGAACAGGGGTTGGACTAGAAGACCTCCAAGGCCCCTTCCAGCTCTGTTATTCTGAGACTGTATCCTTCTATGAAAAGGTCTTGTGAAGATTGAGCTTTTTTGAGTCAAGTAGGTAAGGACTGAACATGGGGACTTTGCCACACGAGGCAAAACTGATGAACTTCAGATCTTCCCTCTCTCCTTCTGCTCTGCCACCAAGTTACTACTCAGCAACTACTCCTTCAGCACAGAAAGAATGCAACCTTAAGAAGCAGAGATCATGCAAGCAGTAGCTGTGAAAGCTAAGGATGGCCTTAATGCTTCCTTGTGCAGTATAAACACTCAAGCACACAAGTGTTAAATCAACACGTGTGGTAGAAATCTTGAGCTGGTAAAGAGAAGCAGAAAATAATATTTGTTCTCAGGTGTTCAGTGAGAAACCCTGAGTGGTTAGAATGACAGAATACACTGCTATAAGAAACAAGGATGGAAGGCTGTGGCATCCATTATGCCCAACCAGTGAACATCCTGGTTGGGGCTAATAGGAATCAGAGGCCAGTAACATCCAGATCACTGCTGGTTCCTTGACTTTGCTTAAAAACAGGAGGCTTCGTGCAATGAATATTTTTAGCCTCAGAAGCCTGCTCCTGAAACAATCCAGATTTGTAATAGATTCTCCTTAAATCTGGGCTTTATTACTTGCTCACTTCCTGGCAAGAAAGGGAGTGTGGACAGAGAGAGAAGGTTGCCAAAAATACAGTTGTGGATTAAAAAGTTTTTTAAAAAAAGACCTTGTAAGCAACAATGGTGCAATAAAAGTGTGCTGCCAAAACATTCCAGAAATCTTGTAAAAATGCAAGTCTCCGGTTGTTATGAACCACATTTTTTTTTCCTCTGATGATTGGACCCCTCCCTGTGATTTATGGAGGCTGGTGCCTACATAGGATTGAGATCCTCTTTCAATTAAAATAGGTGTAAACAATTAAAATAGCTTTAAAAACAAAGCTAGCTATATGCTTAGGAAGGGAGTAAAATAACAGAACAAGAGTTGGAAGGGACCTTGGAGGTCTTCTAGTCCAACCTCCTGCTCAAGCAGCAGACCCTATACCATTTCCAGACAAATGTCTGTCCAATCTCTTCTTAAAAATCTCCACCCACAACTTCTGGAGGCAGGTTGTTCCACTGATTAATTGTTCTCGCTGTTAGGAAGTTTCTCCTTAGTTTTAGGTTGCTTCTCTCCTTGATTAGTTTCCATTGGTTGCTTCTTGTCCTGCCTTCAGGCGCTTTGGAGAATAGCTTGACTCCCTCTTCTTTGGGGCAGCCCCTCAAATATTGGAAGACTGCTATCATGTCCCCCTTGTCCTTCTTGTCATTAAATGAGACATACCCAATTCCTGTAAGTATTCTTCATAGGTTTTAGCCTGTAAAAGCTACTTCAACTTCTTGAAAGCGCTTATCATGAAAAAAAATAGTCATTCTTCGTTTAGGGAATGAGGGAATTGAATGAGAAAATTCAATGTTATTGAACTCTAACATCATCTGATCTCAAAATTAAGGAAGTCACGTTGCCAGAAGGTTGAGCTGGCCCCCAATAAATCATTTTTATAAACCTACATTCCCTTTTGTTTAAAATGAAACCGAGATAACAAAAAAAAAAAAAAAGCAGATGTTCAGACAAGTCAGTTTAAAGCTGCATTTAAAAGAAAAAGCCTGTAAAAATTAATCCATTGCAATTTAGCATCGGGATCCAGAAGGGAAATTTTAAAAATAACTCCACGAAGGTGATTGACAAAATTGTCAGGCACCAAAGGTGGATCTCATGAGAGACAGAAAAGAAACACTACAGCCACACCTGAAAAGTTACCAGCTCGCCATTCCTGCTTTAAAATTAATTCTAGGATCTGTTTGAGAGCATTAATGGTTCCTTCATTTTTCTTGGGCTAGGACGATCTCAAGCCGCTTAATCTGTCAACCGTCCAAACTTCAGTTGCCCAACATACACTGTGTTTGTGTAGAGAGCTGAACTCACAGCTCCCAGTAGATTAGCACTGACAGTACATCCCTATTCTTTGAGACCTGTTGTGAGAACCCTCACAATCCTGCCACTTTGACTCACAAGCTGTACATACCAAGTCCCTGATTTAGTGAGACCCAACATGTGTTGACATCCCAGGCAATGCAACCTTCCATTTCTTTTTGCCTTTGAGGTTCTTCAGCAATATATCTAAGCATGCTTTGGGGGGAGATGGAGAAGGCAGGGACAGGACAAGGGGGAACGCAGCCATCGTAACGGTTTTCAAAGTTTCGAGATAGCAAAAATTCCTTACCAGGATGTTTTTGTAGCCAAGTGTGAGTCCTGTAAACCTGTGGGTTAAAAAAAAAATATGTAGATAGATACGTCAGTAGGATTCAGAACAGCAAACGTTTCCAAAGAAAAGAAGGTTAAAAATTAAAAAATAAAACACTGCGGGTTTTTGAGACCATTACCTGAAATAAAATCCACAAAAAGAGATAAGAAAGTTTCACCAGCCAATTTGCCATGATCCCCTTATCTCGTTGCACACCAGGAAACCGACAGGATGATAAAAAATCTCAGGTCACAGTCGTCATAATATCATGAATAATAAAACTTCGAGTTCTCCGTTGCTATCTGGTCTTCTTTCTTTCTTCTTTTTTTAAAAAGGGTGTTTTCTAATTATCCGTACAATAAGCCCATTCCGTCGACTGGTTTGTGGGAAGGGGGGAGAAAGGAGAGAAAATCCAGCTCTTCCCTGAGGTCTAAGAATTAAAGTTTCAAAAGGTGGCGTTCTCCTTCCGTGGCTGATAAATCCATTCCAAGAAGAAGAAGAAGAAAAAGGAAGAGGAATAGTGAATAATGAAGGGAGGGGGGGAAAGTGAATAAACTTGGGATGATTGCAGAGGCAAGTTTTCCTTCTCCAACTTTTGCTAACAGCTTTCCCTATTTAGATTTGTCTTCATTTGATCAGATGTCACTGGGTGGAAATGGAATTTGGCTGGCTTTAACAAAAAAGAGAGAGAGAGAGAGAGAAAAGAAAGTGTCTCGAAGAGTAAAGATTTTTAAACATTTCTTCTTTGGGGCAGAAAGTGGGAGGGCTTTTGTGGAGGGAGGCTGTTCGTTCTTAGGAAAAAAAACTTGACCGTCTCAGGGATACACACCTCTGCCCCGTCCTGATGGAGTGTAGAACAAAACCAAAGTGATGTCATGCTTTCTCCTCAAACTTTGTCCCATTTGGATATTCTATTTATATCACATTACCAACAAGTGGCTTCCTCGTCTGGGTCCTAGCCCCAGTCAGTTAGGAAGGACGAGATTCAGAAGATGGGAAGATAGCCAGGGAAATAAAACAAAGGCATTGAGAGAAGGAATCAAGAGAAAGACTTAAGGTTTATACCCTGGTGGCTTAGAGGTGAGGTGATGTCCTTTTTTTTTTGATACCGAAAAAGATGCTGAGACTCTAGAAAGAGCGCAGAGGAGTGCAACAAAGATGATTTGGGGGCTGGAGGCTAAAACGTAACAATGAATAGTGGTGGGAACTGGGAGTGTCTAGTCCAGGGGTAGGCAACCTTGGCTCTTTTATGACTCGTGGACTTCAACTCCCATGCTGGCTCAGGAAGTCTGGGAGTGGAAGTCCATGAGTCATAAAAGAGCCAAGGTTGCCTACCCCTGGTCTAATCTGATGAAGAGAAGGACCAGGGGTGACACGGTAATCATCTTCCAATTCTTTGAGGGGCTGTCACTGAGAAGAAATGGTCAATTTATTCTCAAAAGCACTTGAAGCCATGACAAGAAGCAATGGGTGGAAATTCTTCATAGGTAGATCCAACCTAGAACTTAGAAGAAATTTCCTGACAGTGAGAACAATTAATCAGTGGAATTGCCTCCAGAAGTTGGGGGTGCTCCATCACTGAAGGTTTTCAAACTGGACAATCATGGTGTAGGATCTCCTGCTTAAAAACCTCCAGTGATGGAGCAACCGCAACTTAAATCTGCAGGTTTTCTGCTGTAAATAATCCAGAAATCCCTACTAGCTGAAAAGCAGCATTGTCCCCAGTTTCTTGATTTACATTAGGAGAATGTCCTTGAAGTTTCATGATCCAGACGTGCATATTGTACATAAGTTCGGTGTTTCTTATCTGAACCTTTGCCAGCTGTGGCAAATATTCCAAGCTAGGTCTGCTTCATTAGTTGCTCCAGTTCACCATCCTCAGGCAGAACTATGAAAATACAGATTATTATTTTGCTTTCATTATCCGGACAGAAAACCTAAGGAGTATTCAGAAGCAAGCAGTGACAGGAAGTTGCTAAATTGATGGACAGTGCAGGGATGATTAGTGGTGAATAGAAATCGCCATTAACACTTGGAATCTTCCCAAAAAAGAATGTTTTCATCCTGGTTGCAAGAAAGCCGATGCAACATATTTAAATATGGAATGTTTGACAGCAAAGCTCAGAAACGTGCAGCATTTTTCTAAAAAGATAGCTTGCTTCCAGATGCAAGAAAACAGATCCAAGGTGCACAGACTACTTTAAGGTGAACAAATGTGGATTAGAGATACAGAGAAGCGGAACAGCTTTGCCTCCAGAAATCGTGGGCGCTCCATCACTGGAGGTGTTTAAGAAGAGACTGGACAGTCACTTGTTTGAGATGGTGTAGGCTCTCCTACTTGAGTGGGAGGCTGGACTAGAAGACCTCCAAGGTCCCTTCCAGCTCTATTCTATTCTAAGTTCCCTAAGGATGGGCTCCAGCACCAGTCTGAAAGTTTGGAAGGCAAAAATCTGTGATCCCAGTGACTAACCCAGATTGGATCCTGCATTAGAAAGTCAGTTTGGTGTAGTGGTTAAAGCAGCAGACTAGAAACTGGGTGGCTGTGAATTCTAGTCCTGTTCTGGGCCAGTCCTTCTCTCTCAGTCTTAGGAAGAAAGAAGCCAGGACAAGCCACTTCCAAAAAATCTTGTGAAGGAAACTGCTAGGAGTTGTGTAAGAATCTAAGAATCAACATTGAGCCGAAAGAACTGAAACCTCCCCAAAATAAACCAATGCATTAATCTGGCCCAGCTGGAAGACGTAAGGACTCCTTCTTTGGTCAGGGGGGTTGGACTAGAAGACCTCCAAGGTCCCTTCCAGCTCTTTGATTGTACAATTCAAGGATGCATGGACTTGGTGGCTCATCCTGAATATGCAACTTGCAAACCAGCATGCCAACGTTAAAATAAACTGTCTTGCTTTTCTTCCCCACATCTATAATATTTATTTATTTTGCGCCAAAGCCAGCAGCAAGCACTTGAGGTTTTTGTTGCAGTAGTTATCACACAACGGCAACTTCAGACATTTATAATTAGGGGAAACTTTTTCTACGATGACAAATTGCTCACACTGATGGCTTTGTGTTCTGCGCCTTTCCAAAACCCTTTGCCTTGCTGCCCACCGAGGTGAAAAGAACAAGGTGGAAACTTAGAAGAAAAATCTAGTAAATTGCATTAGAAATTCAGTTCCAGTACACCGATTTGAAGGACTGAAAAAAGAAGTGGAGAGCTGGGAACAACCCATAACAATGTTCCATGGATTGATGGAAATATATATGAAATATACGGAGCAACATCATCGGCACGCTTGATGCCGAAGTGGGGCCCGTGCACCAAATAACTAAACACAGTTTCAGGAGTAAATTCCTACAGTGAGTACAAGTAGTCCTCAATGTACAACAGGTCATTTAGTGACTGTTCAAAGCTACAACAGCAATGGAAAAAGGGAGCGTTTTTCACACTTACAATCACGGCAGCAGCCCCACAGGGATCAAAATCCAGACGCTTAGCAACTGACTCACATTTATGACGGATGCAGCGTGCCCGGGGTCACGTGATCCCCTTTTGTGATTGTCTGACAAGCAAAGTCCATGGGGTAGAAGCCAGATTCACTTCACAACCTTGTGACTAATAACTGCCGTGATTCTCTTACTAATTGTGGCAAGAAAGGTCGTAAAAATGGGGCAACATTCACTTAACGGTTTCGTTTAGCAACAGAAACATTGGGCTGAACTGTGATCAGAAGTCAAGGACTAGCCGTAATAGTTTGCAATGCCCTCGGTTCCTAGTGTGTCTTTGCAGTTGAATTGCACCCATCTTTCAAGTTTGAAAAACGCTGCGATAGAAGATTGCCAATATCCTGTGAAGCTTTACAGTCTACGGTTTCAGAAACCTTTTTTGGGATGATCCATCAGAAAGGTCCTTGTGTTCCAAGAAAATCTGAGCTTTTCCACCCTCCAAAGAACCGTAGAGCAGAAATGAGCAATCGTGGATCACACAAGGTTTATGCAACGAAGCTTACTAACTCCTAGAGACTTTGGCCACACCCTGTGCAATTACAGAGAGAAAGTGACAGTCATAGTGAGTGGCATTTCCTGATTATTTCCAAGAAAAGAAACCCAGGAAACAAAACCATGTTTGCTGTGTCAAGACTCTCTAGAACACAACATTCCCATTAGCCTTTTCATCCACATCACAAGATGTCATGGAGACACTGAGAACTAGACAAAGATGGGTGTTTTTATTTTTTTAAGGATATCTCTTCTACCATTCTACCAGAGACTGGACAGCCATTTGTCTGAAATGGTACAGGGTTTCCTGCCTGAGCAGGGGGTTGGACTAGATGACCCCCAAGGTCCCTTTCAACTTTATTATTATTACCATTGATATCCAGCCCTTCCTTCTGCAAACATTCGAAGAACAGTTACAAGAATTGGGTAGGTCTAGTTTAATTAAAAGAAGGACTAGGGGCGTCGTGACAGCAGTATTCCAATATTTGAAGGGCTGCCACAAAGAAGAGGGGGGGTCAACTTATTCTCCAATGCACCTGAAGGCAGAACAAGAAGCAATGGATGGAAACTAATCAAGGAAAGAAGCAACCTGAAATAAGGAGAAACTTCCTAACAGTAAGAACAATTAATCAGTGGAAAGGGTTGTGGGTGCTCTATCATTGGAGGCTTTCAATCTGAAATGGTATAGGGTCTCCTGCTCGAACAGAAGGTTGGATTAGAAGACCTCCAAGATCCCTTTCAATGCTTATTATTCTATGTTCTAGAGGAAAAAAACCCTTTTCCTTCACACACTCATGAAAATAATACTGAAAACTCTGTAAAATTCAGCCCCCTGCCTTTTTGTGATGATACAAACCTACAAGTTTAATGAGAGTGGTTGGAAAACACATCAGTGTCCGGTTCAGCAACACGCCGAAGAGGCAAGGTACATTTCAAATTTCAGTCCAGTTGAATGTTTAGCATGACATTTCAGCATCACCTTTTGTGATCCAACCCGGAAAGAAGTCCCAAGGTTTCAACATAGAATGAAATTTCTGTTGGAGCAAAGAGAAAAAAAGAGATATATTTTAGTTCCCTCTTAAAAAAAACAAGTCTGAACAGTTTTTCTTCTACAAACTCTAAACAAGGTCTCTTTCCCCTAACTTCACACCTTTTTATTTCTTTTTAGGACAAATTTATTTATGATTTAAAGTACGTATAGTCAAAGCCATGGTTTTCCCAGTTGCAATGTATGGCTGTGAAAGTTGGACCATAAGAAAGGCTGAGTGACAAAGAATGGAGGACTTTGAGCTCTGGTGCTGGAGAAGACTCCTGCGAGTCCCCTGGACTGCAAGGCGTTCAAACCAGTCAGTCCTAGAAGAGATCAACCCCAACTGCTCTTTAGAAGGCTAGATCCTGAAGCTGAAACTCAAGTACTTTGGCCACCTAATGAGAAGGAAGGACTCCCTGGAGAAGAGCCTAATGCTGGGAAAGATGGAGGGCAAGAGAAGAAGGGGACGACAGAGAAGGAGATGGTTGGATGGAGTCCCTGAAGCAGGAGGCGTGAGCTTAAATGGACTCCAGAAGATGGTAGAGGACAGGAAGGCCTGGAGGAACGTTGTCCATGGTTGTCCAGTCTCTTTGAAAGCCTCCAGTGATGGAGCACCCACAATTTCTGAAGGCAATCTATTCCATTGGTCGATTGCTCTCACTTTTAGGAAATTTCTCCTTATTTCTAGGTTGGGTTTCTCCTTGGTTAGCTTCCTTGTCTTGCCTTTTGATGCTTTGGAGAATAGGTTCTTCTTTGGGGCAGCCCCACAAATATTGGAACATTGGTATCATGTCTCCTCTTTTCATTAGACTAGACATATCCAGTTCCTGCAACCGTTCTTCATATGTTTTAGCCTCCAGCCCCCTAATCACCTTTGTTGCTCTTCTCTGCACTCTTTCCAGAGTCTCAAGTCTTTTTTATATTGTGGTGACCAGAACTGGATGCAGTATTCCAAAGGTGGTCTTACCAAGGCTTTGTAAAGCAGTATTAGAACTTCACATGATCTTGATTCTATCCCTTTATTAATCATGAGGGGAAAATCTATTGGTGTGCTGCTGTGTGATGAACATTGGCTGGTGTAAGCTGGTTTAATAACACTGTGGGTTTTGCTGTTGGTGTGCTTAATGATTAATCTATGCTAATTGCTTATATGTCAGACTTCATTAAGAAGAATCTCTATTAATTGGATGCTTTTATCTAATGTTCCCAGCCAGTTTTCCACATTTTAACAATGTTTCACACAGCAAGAAATTCCAATTTTCTTTTGCCCTAGTTGAGCACCTGATCCACCTAGCTGCGTGAATACATTTTCCATGGGTCTGCAAGTTAGGATTGATATGATGGGACAGATGTGGCTTGTTTAACCAATGCACTGAGTAAATCCAGTCCTGGAGTACGAGGGAAGTTAATTGCAGCTGAAAAGTGGGGCTCAACTCTCAATAAAATTGCTGTCCAGAATCATAGATGCAAACATATGCAAGCAATAAAAAGCACTGGAGTGATGCAGAAAATGTTACCTTGATGCATAAATTAGACTTGGGGAGGGAGGTTTGGGATAGAGGGAGGGGCATGTTTTTGACAAACCAATTTGGAGAGAAATCTCTTTTTCAGAGTAACGAGGAGAAGAGAAGCTTAACAACTGAGAGTTAAGGAGAAATTTCTTGACAGTGAGAACAATTAATAAGTGGAACAGTTTGCCTCCAGAATTTATGGGTGCTCCATCACTGGGTTTTCAAAAAGAGACTGGACAGCCATTTGTCCAGGATAATATAAGTTCTCCTGCTTGAGCAGAGGGTTGGACAAGAAGATCTCCAAGGTCCCTTCCACCTGTTATTCTATATTTAAGGTTGGACGTTAACAGCCACCCTGAGCTGTGGCGTAGGACAACTCAGATGGGCTAAAAGTATCCATGCTGCAACAGAAAGCATAATGCTTGAATGGAAGCAGAGCACCACCATGTGGTCTTCATAATGTTTGTGAAAAGTGGACTGCAGCAGAAGCCACTCCTTCTCCTGTTTGTTGATCCAGCCACAGGAATGTAGGCGGGGTAAAAAAATGATTGGCTTCTGCAATTAATACAATGGTTGAACGGAGATGTGCAGGAAGAATGATTCACTCCCAATACCATGATGTAAAAATAAAAATAAGAATCCCAGAATTCAAAGGGAAGCTGGTCAAGAGCGATGAAGCTGAATCACTGGTGAGTAAGCTGGTGACTCCAACGTGAAGATGAGTTGATGTTAGATGGTGGAGTGCAGACTTTGGGATTTGGCAGGCTTCTGGATAAAGTGGTTTCGTTTTTATCAGGGGGTAAAAATCTGGCATTTGTGACCTTGAGATTGTGGTTTCTTTGTGGACTGACTTCAGAAGACAGTTTAGACCAGTGCTTCCCAACCATGGCAACCTGAGGATGGGTGGACAACACTCAAAATTTCCCATCTAGCACGGATGGACCTCAACTTGCAAATTCCCCAGCCAGCAAACTATTTGGGAAATGATGGGAGTTGGAAGTCTACCCATCTCCAAGTATCTTAAGGTTGAGAAACATTGGTTTAGACATTATATGTGGACTCAGTGGGCCTTAGAATACCTGGAGGATGAGATGGAAAACCTTACACAGGTGAAACCTACATATGTAATAGATTCTGTAGAGATGCATATGTAGATTGCTGGAATATCAATGTCCAATTCACTTTTCTCCTTGGTGGGATCCCTATTTTGGAACAAATTAAGATGACAGGAAGCAAGTATCTTACTGAAGTTTAGGAAGGGGCTCAAAACACATTTATTTCCCAAGGCTTTTTCATGGTGCTGTTCTGGTTTACACTTTATTGGAAGGTATGTTTTTATTGGCTCTTAAGCTGCCTGGAGCCACTAGAGGAGTAATTTAGATCTTCCAAGTAAATAACTCTATTCTGCCACCTCTGAGTAATGTTGGGACTTTTAACTGACAGAACAACTGTGGGCTACTTCACAAAGTATTAGAGGATGCTGTCTCTAGTGGATGAAATGGGAAAAAGTCCCGTTTTCAGGACAACAAAATTACCGTAACTATGTTCTTCTTTCCTACCATGTTAGGAAGAACAGAGATTGGGTGCCTTTTTAACTCAAATTTTTTTTTAGTCCCCATCTTTAAAAACATCCAGTTTACTTAAAATTCTGCCCCATTTCTGAATTAAGACCAATTTATGAGTGAACAATAACCATGGGGGGGGGGAATAGTTTCAATCTCCCCTTAAAACAGAATTCACCATAAAAGGGAGAGCAATTTGAGTAATGTGCAATGCTTCCTCCGCTTCTCTAATAGAGCATTCATGTTTTTTTTCCTGAACATTCTCCCTTAGTTGAGGCACAGGCAACCGTTTTGCCCAAGCTTAGGCTCAGCGTACTGTTTTAAGTTTTCTAACAAAATAATTTACATCCTGCTGTTTCACCAGTATCAGCATTTCAGCTAACTCAAGGTGCAGAACACGGCTTCGGCTAGAACCCTAACTGGGTTAGGTGTTCTAGTTTCTGGAGTGCAGTATGTAAACACAGGACACATTTGCTCGTTTTCTGAGATGAATTAAGAAATCAATTTGCTTCCTTCTGCCTTGGCTAAATTCAGATAGGCTGCTACTGCTTTTTCACCCGCCCAACCAACAGTTGCTCAATTAAGGTAACTGGGTTGCTATTACTGGCAGACCTGCCCAGCTAAAGCCTGTCCCTCTTTAATAAAGGAAAGTCTGGTCTCAAAACTGTATTTCCAGTCTGCAAGGACAGCTTGGGCCATAAACCAGAGGGTTTTTACGCCATTACAGAGCAGGAAATGCAGAAGACCCCTAGGTTGTGGCTGTGCCCACTCAACCTCCATATTTGCAACCCGTCTCTTGCAAAAATACTAGGCATGCCACTGGCCAAGGTTCCTCATTAGAGGCTACAGATGTGGCTCTAGCTAATCAGTTCAGTCAACCTCTACAGAAGACAATGTCAAACTCACAATGCTGCACATGTTTACCCCCACACACACATACACACAGCACGAATAGTTCCTATTATGTCCCAGTTGGTGCCCACAAGGATCCCTGCTTTTTGACATTATTCAAAATGAGATGAGATGCTTGCATGTTGTGAGGCACCGATCCACAGCAGGATCTCTAAATATATTTCTAGGGCTGGTAGTTGACTCACTACTCTCCCTTTCCAGAATGAAGACACTGGAAGGGGTTGCGTTTAGAGATTAATCCCAAACACCAACCTCAAGAAAATTCACCCTCCCCTTTAACTAGACATTAACTATTACCATGTCAGTTAGGACTAGGTTAGTTGCAGTCACCACGATAGAAGAAAAGCTGGTTTAGACCCAAGAATGTTCCTCAAAAATTAATCTGACTGAAGCAGCCCTTTCCATCATTTCATCTAGCATTCACTGATTTGCCTCAACTCTAGAAACCCAGAGGGCGGCATCTACTGTACGCTTCAGATCTACCTGCAACAATTATTTAGGCCAGTGGTTCCCAACCTTTTCTATAACCAGCACCCCGAGAACGCTTCTGATATATACCCGCACCCCTTACAAAAGTAATACCTGGTTTTCAATGACGTGAACATACACACTATAATTTTGAAACTTCAAAAAGTTTTCGCACCCCCTGGAATATCGTCTCGCACCCCTGGTTGGGAACCTCTGATTTAGGCTGAACCAAAATGAGACTTAGGCTTGCAAATTCGTTTAGGCTAGACTAGAAAATTAATTTAAAATTTAGATGCCGAACTTTGAGCTTCAGTTACTACCTGCTTGGAGTAATCGTTTAGAAGGGAAGGGGTTTTTTTGTTTTTGTTAAAAAAAAAAAAAACTTCAAAATCTTGCTCCAAATAATTATCCTTCGAAAGAGCCGCTTGATTGGGTATTTGAAATACAACTTTATTATGCTCTAAACAAAAAGGAATGGGAATGACAGTAACAAACAAGATTTACCACTGAATACTGTGATGAGACTGCAGCAGTCAGATTTGTAACTCAAATGTGGAGTAAATTTGCAGTCCAAAACAGCTAAATATGCAGGTCCAAAAATGAAGGAATTTTATTTCAACTGCCACATTCACACGCCAAACCCCCATTCTCTCTTTCAGCATCCCAAAGATTAAAGCACATGTTCTGCTCAGCTAGAATAATAAAGTGGCAAACACGCTGCACCACTGACATCACAGGACAGTTGCCTATAAAACTAGACTTCTGACGCTGGGCTCCAGCTTCGCCTCCCTCACAGGTCATCATCTTCGTCTGGCAGTGCAGTGGTCTGAGCAATCTGGAAGAGGGGCAAAGAAAGGGTCAAGAGCTGTGAAAAAGTCTAGGCAACGGGCAGTGGGCCAAGGGTCTTTGCAAAAGGGTTACCTGTAAATCTTGCTCGTACTGTGCTGCCAACGCTGGATCCATAACGACCTCTGGGGGCGCAAGAGCAGGCATGGCCACAAATTCCAGGTTGGGATCGCCAATGAGCTTTCTCGCCAGCCAAAGGAAGGGCTTCTCAAAGTTGTAGTTGCTCTTGGCTGAAATGTCGTAGTACTAAATGCAAAGGTTACAGAGAGGAACTTGAGTTATAACAGAGATGGGGGGGGGGGGCTGCTATCCTCTGCAGATAACTCCTTTGACTTCTACCGTGCATTTGCGGTTTGCTTTGTGAGAAGGTTTGACTTATTTTAAACTTTCTGTCACCACAAGATAGCTGCCTACTTTTATTAATTCAGAGTGAGCAGATTTAAAGAGAAAACCACTTCAGGAATCGCTACCAACTGAATCAAACATTGATAGAAGAGAATATTTGTAGCTCAGGGTTGAACTGTGGGGATCTTCCATGTTCTCCAAGCTTGTTTTCTTGCAGACCTTTCATTAACGAAGTAGGTAACCATAGGTAACACAATGGCTAGGCTAGCAGTGATGTTACCTAGCTGTGTAATGAAATGTCTGCATAAATCTAGTAAAGAAGTATGGTTACTATTTTGCTTCACATTGCACAATCTATAAAAAGGAAAAGAGGGTTCCCCACCACAAAAAATATGTTTGTTGGATTAAAACTCAGAAATATAGACAATTAAAGCTGCAAAACAGGTACATTTGGTTATGAGGGCTCCCTGGTACTTTCTGAGTTTGTTTTCTTGCAGACACTACCTCACCCAAACTATCCAGCCCTAGATTCTACCAGTGGGCTCTGGGGAACCCAGAGCAGGATAGAGCCCATTACATGGCTAGTTTGAATGTACCAAGGTTGAGGACCCCTGGAGTAGGCGGCAGTTTAAATTTTCTAAATAAATCAATAAACTAGGTCACATCAACATTTGGTTCTGTTGACCTTCCTCTTTTCAACTAGAGAGATGCCTTGTCCTTACCTGCAGATTCTTCTTCCTGTGAAAGACAATGGACTTTGCTTTGACTTTCCTGTCCTTGATGTCCACTTTGTTGCCACACAAAACTATGGGGATGTTCTCGCAAACTCGTACCAGATCTCTATGCCAGTTTGGTACGTTCTTGTATGTAACCCTTGATGTTACATCAAACATTATGATAGCACACTGAGCTAGAAGGCAAAGCCATGGGCATTATTAGTCAAGGGGATGGAAGCATGCAATTTGCAATTCTAGTATTAAAGCAATTCTATATAAAAGCAGTCCCAGGTGTTTGCATTGTTACTTCAACAGTATCAAACGGTATCCATTTTGATGTAGTTTCACGCTAAGTTTCAAAATTTAGGATGCTTGCAGGTAATAAATCCTCAAGGAACTTGAATTACTATCATTTTTTTAACATAAATATAATGAAAACACAATTCTAATGTTCTGATAGAAAACAGAAATGGGAACACTTAAGTTACTGAAGTAAGGATAGTTCCTTACTTCCTGTTTACAAATATTTGTTCAAATAACTTATTTACTAAATGTACATGGCCAACCAACCCTGTCACCCTTGAACTGACCTTGAATGTAGTAACCATCTCGCAGACCTCCAAACTTTTCTTGACCAGCTGTATCCCATACATTAAATTTAATGGGACCTCTGTTAGTGTGGAACACCAGAGGATGGACTTCGACTCCCAAAGTAGCTACAACAAAATGAAATGTTAGTTGCTACGCTGCATGTGAAGGCACAATACAAAACTTTCAAGGATTATTTCGATGGTAAGTTACTTATCCATATCGGGCTTGTTCGCATCTCGTCTACAGAGTTTTAAAAAGCAACTTTTCTTTAAACATTATTTGCTTTTATTTTTTTTAAAAAAAAAAACAAATCACCAGCAGTTTGACTCTTTTTTCTCTTTTCATTCACCCCACTCCCTTGATCTACCAGGAAAGATGAAAAAGCTAATTATAACTCAGGTGTCATTTCAGCTCAAATTATATGATATTTAACACCCTGGACCCTTAGAATATACAGACCATAAAATTATGTCTAGATATCTAGAGTTTTACACCCAAGTTACAGTTTAGATCTGGTCCTATAAAAGGCAAGATACCTATCAAAATAATTTTAATGTGTCTAAATGACTTAAAAGAGTTGACATACCTACATACTTCTTCTCAAATTCACCAGTCAAGTGGCGTTTCACAAATGTTGTTTTACCAGTGCCACCGTCACCAACCAAAACAAGCTGAATTAAAAAATAAATAAAATTACGTTTTATGCTAACGTTTTTTTCAACCAGTATCAATCCTACAAAACAAATATATACCAAGCCAGTATGCTGTAATTGTTATAGAATAGTATAAAGATCTGGGGGAAGTTAGATGTAAACATTTGTAGGTATGAAATTGGCTAGGCTAGTAAACCCAGATGAATCTACAAACTATTTACATAAGCCATCTCATCCAAAACTACAGGCTCAATTCTAAATAAAGCACTGATCATCAAAAACTAAAACACATTTAAAAATATCATAGATCTACACACTGCAAGCTATTCAGGTTGTGGCAACAAACCAGCAGACAAATGTTTCTTGAAACGAAAAGTAACTAATTCATTTATGTTATGTATTTTTTCTACCTTGATGTTTTATTGGCAAATCCGTGTATTAATCTAAGGAAAATCTAAGCAAAAGAATGGTTTATATATAGAACTATTAATTTTGCTTGATTTAAAAAAATATTTCCATTTCTTTGAAATTACTCAGGACTAGAAAACTCACACCCAATTGTTTCTATGTATTTGAAGCTATACAATTTTACAATTAAAAGCATCCACTGTTTGGAACATAATAGCGAATAGCCACTATTTTGACAATATTAATAAAATTGCAGTACATATAGTGCATGTAATATTTCCTATTTACAAATTCAATCCAACTATTAAAAAAAGTTTACTAATTTACCAAAAGCTCTACCTTAACTCTCCAACAGGAACACATCAAAAGAAACACTCCTTCAATATAAATAATCAGACATCATTCATTAAAAATAACATTTGGATAGCAACCTGACTCTTTATGAGTTGGGACTTAACTGTGTATTCCAGCATTAAGTCTACAAATACAAGAAAACAGGCAAACAGTGTAGGCCACAAGGCTATTTTGGAATTAGTTATCATATTTTGCATGTCTGCCTTCAAAGAACCCGTATCAAATTTCTAACCACACACTGTCAGCTCTCAACAGATTGAAAATAAATTTAGGTTCCACTGAGAACAGGCATTTCTTTGAAGTGAAGAAAAAAAAAGGGGCGGAAAAAATACAGCCAGCCCAAAAAGGAGTTCGGCACAAGCCAGAAAAGCATTCCTGTGGATTTGCAAACCAACAAAGAAAGCTCAGAGGCCCGGCTTGCTGCGCTGGCTTCCTCCAGGACAAAGTTATTAGAAAAGACCGTTCAGCCCTACCTTAAACTGCACTTGTGGTTCTCCTTGTGGGGCGGCCATGCTGTGTCTGTGGGAAAGAGCAATGCATGAGTGGAGAGGCGGCACTGCAGATGATCGTCGCAGCTCCAAGGCGCGTGGCTGACTGGTTCAGCTCTCCATCCGGGTCGAGGAGGAGGAAGCAGTAAATGGCGGAAGGCAAGCACTGGGGCTGGCTGGGTTTTTGTGTGCGTTTCCCCCTCTCCACCTTCCAGCCCTTATAAAAACAACACACACACACACACATTCCACACAAAACTGCACAACCAGGGGCTTGTCAGAGGTGGTGAAAAACAGTCTGAAAAGGGACTGGACTAGGAAGGCAGAGAAGGGGAAAAGGGGTGGGGTAGTGCAGGGGGGAAGAGGGCCCAGCTGCAAAGTCAAATCACCGGTTTTCCTTTTTTTAGGACTATGCGCCTCCTCTAACCCACTCTTCCAGGCATCCCAGTCTGAGAGCAAAAGAGAGTACCCCTAAAGAAGGCCCCCCCTCCCCTTTCTTGACATCTCCCCCAAAAGAGAGGAGGGCAAAGAAGCATCTCCTCCCACCTTTCTTAGCACTCCCCAAGGCAAAAGTCTGGGGGGGACAGAAGAAAGTCTACCTTTCCCCTTTCTTGGCATCTTCCTTAAAGTCAGGAGCAGCAGAAGAGATACCTCTTCGGCAAGGGGGGGCTCCCTCCTTAATGGGATCCCCTAAAGGGGCATCAGCCCCTAAAAAAAACAGGGGGGACACAAGAGAGCCCCTAAAGGCCCCCTACCACCTTAATGGGATCCCCTAAAGGGGCATCTCCCCCTAAAGACAAAACTGGGGGGACACAAGAGAGCCCCTAAAGGCCCCCTACCATCTTAATGGGATCCCCTAAAGGGGCATCTCCCCCTAAAGACAAAACTGGGGGGGACACAAGAGAGCCCCTAAAGGCCCCCCTACCACCTTAATGGGATCCCTTAAAGGAGCATCTCCCCCTAAAGACAAAACTGGGGGGACACAAGAGCCCCTAAAAGCCCCCCTACCATCTTAATGGGATCCCCTAAAGGGGCATCTCCCCCTAAAGACAAAACTGGGGGGACACAAGAGAGCCCCTAAAAGCCCCCCTACCATCTTAATGGGATCCCCTAAAGGGGCATCTCCCCCTAAAGACAAAACTGGGGGGGACACAAGAGAGCCCCTAAAAGCCCCCCTACCATCTTAATGGGATCCCCTAAAGGGGCATCTCCCCCTAAAGACAAAACTGGGGGGGAGGCACAAGAGAGCCTCCTAAAGGGCACCCGCCCCCCAAGGCAAAAATCTGGAGGGGAGGAGAGAGTGTTCCTTCCCCGGGATCTCCCCCAAAGAAAAAGTCTGGGGGAAGCCATAAATAACAGCACCCCCCCCAAACCCCCCCCAGCACCTTCTTCCACCATGAGAAAAAAAAGTCTGGGAGGGGGATAGAAGAGAGAAACCCCCCCCTAAAAAAGCGCCCTTCCCCCACCTTTGTAGGCCTTAGGGGGGAAAACCCCCGTGAAAGCTGAAGAAAGAGACTCCCCCCCTCCCAGAAAGGCGCCCCCTTTTCCCCCAGCATACCCCTTCCGTGCCCCCCACCCCTTTTTTCGACTCACCTCCGAAGAAAGGAAAGAGGGCGAGAGGCGTGTTTGGGGGCCCATTCCCCCCTCCCTCCCTCCAAGCCCGCGCATGCGCACAACGCCGCCCGCCGCTCTCCCCCCCGCCGCCGCCGCCGCCAACGGCCTCCCGCCAACCGCCTTTCCCATCCCCGCGCGTGCGCCTCAGCCCCCCCTCCCCTCTTTCCTCGCGGGGGGGGCAACCGGAAGGCCTTTCCCGCCCTTTCTTGGCCAGAAGGGGAGGGGGGCGGAAGAAAGGAGGCCGTTCCCGCGAGGCGAGCGAGCGAGCGAGGCCGCGGCCTTCCCATCTCTCCTCTCCTCCAACGCCGGGCGGGGTTGGTTACCTTCTCGGGGCGTCTCGTCCGCTGCTTGCCTGCCTTCCTTCTTTCTCCGCTCGCGGCTGCCGCTGCTACTCCAGGGAAGCGAGCGGGCTTGTGAGGGAAGATGGCGGAAGCGCGCTCGTTCAAATCGCCCTGAAAGAAACAGCAGCAGCAGCAGCAGAGGGCGGGGAGCGCGCACGCCGCTCACGTCGCCGCGCGGGGAGAAAGCCAATCAGCGCGCGCGCGTGTGTCGCGTAGCGGGAGGGGAGGAGCCTGGCGTCAGGCGACCGCGCCTGCGCGGTGGCATGCCTCCGAAACTTGGGCTCGCTCTTTCTCTTTTACCCTCGCGACGCCTTTCTCAGCAGAGAGAGAGAGAGAGAGAGAGAGAGAGAGAGAGAGTAAATGCGCGCGCTTTCTTCGATAGCTCCGCCCCCTCCACACCACCATCACCCCGTGTTGGGGTGCGCCTGCGCGGTGGCGCGCGGGCGTTTTGGCGCGAAAGGGGAGCGCTCTTTTTCCCCCCTTCCTTGGCGCGCGCTGCTATTTTAGATTTAAAATATTTACCCCCCCCCCCCAAAAAAAAAGGAGTAGGAAGAAATAATAATAATAATTAAAAAGAAGAAGCAATGCCACTGGCGATGCAAAAGACCCCCCTGGGCACCAGCAAGGGTCGTCTGATGGCAAAAATGATGATGCTTCCTTGCTTGGCCAACGGTGGGGAAGATGGGCTATGTAGTTTAGCATTGCAAAAGATGGGGAATAGAAGTCTGATGAACCTGGGGGGTGCTTTTTCCCATTCGTGAGGCGATGGTGAATGGATCCCGAGGGATTGGCCGAAGACAGCTAAAATTTCAGTGTTTCTCAACCTTGACCATTTTAAGGTATGTGGACTTCAACTCCCAGAATTCCACAGCCAGCAATGCTGGCTGTGGAATTCTGGGAGTTGAAGTCCACATGCCTTAAAATGGCCAAGGTTGAGAAACACTAAATGTTTGTTTCTGGGAATGTCTGGGTTTGCCTCTAAAGGCCAGAAAGGAAATCCGCATTGCCTTTAATTCCATCCCCTCTGAAAGCCTCTTGGAGTATTTTCTGCTTTGGCAAGGCATCAGTCCTCGACTTACAACCAAAGTCACTAAATGACAAGCAAAAGTCAATGGGGAAAGCCAGATTTGCTTAACAACCATGTTACTAATTTAAACAACTGCAGTGATTCACTTAACCACTGTGGCAAGCAAGGTCGTAAAATGGGGCAAAACTCAGCAAACGTCTCACTTAGCAATGGAAATTTTGAGCTCCGTTGTGCTTGTAAGTCTGGGGACAACCTGCACTTGATTCTTTTTTTGTTCTTTCTGCAAAAAGGATGTAGTTCCAAAAAGAGCAACTTTCAAATGTATTTTTTATTATTATTATTTCCTCACTGGGTCTTTTTATTTCTTTACTAGAAATGAGAAGAGAAACACTGATTGAAAGGTCCTTTGACTGACAGCAGCAGGAACCCTCCGTTTGGTTTTGCTAAATGAATAAACCAATCCCAATATACGTTGAATTAAAGAGGAAGTTTAAAAAATGCAAATGGTGGGGAGGTGCTAAAAAAAAATCACACACCTAGGTCATAACATGAGTATTTTTTATTTATTAATTGATACAGCCACTCTGTATCAATTAATCTCATTAATGCAGCCACTCTGGATGTCTTACAACCTGATAAAAAATAAAGTCCTGCAATATGATTAAAATTAGAATTAAATAGAAAAGCTAAAAAACCCCAATACAATGGGCATTAAATGTTTTTAATTTTGAAATGTTCCATTTTTTAAAAAAAGCATCTCTAATATTCTAATTTAATAAGGGTTTTAATATGATCCCCAGCCACTCTCTCTTGGCCTGGACGAGATATATTTGCATAGCTCCGCCCTTTCTATAACGCCACACACCCCTCGCTTGGTCCCTCAGTGATATTCCACCAAAGATCTTAATACGAGCTCCCTCGCCCCTCCCTTTTCGCTTGGACCAGACTCCACATTTGCATAGCTCCGCCCTTCCTTTGCAAGCGGCCCCACCCCTTCTCTTGGTCCCTCAGGGATATTCCACCAAGAATCTTAATACGCGCTCCCTCTTCCCTTGGACCAAACTCTACATTTGCATAGCTCCGCCCTTCCTTTGTAAGCGACCACGCCCCTCCCTCGGTCCTCAGGCCACTGGGTTCTTCGCTTTTATAACGGGGAGGCGACGCCTGCGCCTGCGCAGTGGGCGGCGGCCGGGGCAGTGGTTGCCCTGGCATCAGCGAGTGAGGAGGCGGCGGTCGCCGTGTTGAGCCGCCGCTGGAGCCTCCCGGAACCGAGAGCCGCCGGCGGTGGGCAAAGAGCGGCAGAAACGCCCGGGGAGGACCGGCTGGAGGAGCCCCGCCAGGATGAGAGACCGTCTGGCTGAGCTGGCATCGGTGAGAGGCTGAGGAGGCGGAGGCGGAGGGAGGGTGACCCCTGGGCAAGAACAGCCCCCCCCAGAGGGGAGGGGGAGAGGCCAATTGACGGATGCGCGGCAGCATCCCCGGTCCAGGAACGGCGCTCACTGCTGCAACCTGGCGCCCGCTGCAAAGGAGATGGGCGACGGCTCCCAGAGGATGGAGACGACAGGACGATGGGGACGGTAGTCGCCCGCCTTTAGAAAAAAAAGCCGCTTTCTACGCTCATTGATTTATACGTTACATTTATATGCCGACCATCCCCATCCCTGAGTGGCTTTGCATTATCTAGCCCAGGTGTGTTTTTCTTCCAGGGAAGCTTTCTGCCTTTTTGCATTTATCTCCCAAAGGCGTTCGTCATCCGCAGGGCAGCCAGCTCAGAGCAGCCTCTGGTTCAAAACAAAACAGCTGGGCAGAGCAAACATTCCGGGGAATTTTGAGGAATTTTGCTAGAGGTGCCTTTTCTACCGGCATAGATTAGGGATGCTGGTTAAGTTCGGCCATCATCTTCCCTTCTTGTTAACCCTTTTCCCTAAAAAGAGCCTAAATTTTTGACATGAAGTGTTTCTTCTTTTTTTTAAAGCATTCGTTTTCTGCTGGTAATGGAAAAGCCTTTGTTTGCTTTATTTTCAAACACAAAGTTGCCTAATAAAATGCAAGTGTTTGTGTTAGGGTTGCAGGCAATTCTTTCAGCAAAATGTTTGTGTCAAGTGAACCGGGTGTTTTGAAAACATTGCATTTTGTTTTGCTACTGGCGGGGAAGATACAAAGAATCAGGGTGAACAAACAACTCAAAACCAAAAACCCTGAAGCCTTCTCAGTAACTGGGTTAGACTGCTGGGAATTAGCAGTTTTAAAACCTCGGATGTGATAGAGGGGCACCAATGCTTGTGTGTTATTTTAGAGAAAGCATCTTGCATCAATGGGGTGCAGATATTGGTCTGTCCCTGCATTTTATATGTCCATATTGCTAATTAATATTTGAATTGCAATTTCAACCTTCTTACCTGCTTGGAGTTCACTTCAAAGAGAAGGAGAGCTTGTGCCTTTGAAAGAATATTTATTTGAAGCTACAGCTTCCACACAGAGGCAGGTATATACAGATAGTCCTCAATCTATGACCACAATTGAGCCCAAAATTTCTGTTGCTAAGCAAGACACTATTAAGTCAATTTTGCCCCATTTTACGACCTTTCTTGCCACCGTTGTTAAGTGAATCACTGCAGTTGTTAATTGAGTAACATGGCTGTTAAGTGAATCCAGTTTCCCCATTGACTATGCTTGTCGGAAGGTCGCAAAAGGGGGAATCACATGACCCCAGGACACTGCGACCGTCATAAATATGAATCAGTTGCCGAGCGTCCAAATTTTGATTACGTGACCATTGAGATGCTGCAAGGGTCATAAGTGTGAAAAATGGTCATAAGTCCATTCAGTGTCAACGTGACTTTGAACGGTCACTAAATGAATTGTTGTAAGTCAAGGACTGTCTGTGTTATACATTTGTGCATACATCTGAATGCCTGCATCTATATGTGATACAGCCACGTTTCTGTGTAGTGGGTTTTTTGAGGATTTTCAGGCATTCCCCATGTTTCTTAGGAGCAGTGTGGCAATTTTTGAGGCAGTGCCATCCTCACTGATGAAGAGAAGGACGAGGGGGGACATGAGAGCGGGGTTCCAATATCTCAGGGGATGCCCCAAAGAAGAGGGAGTCAATCTATTCTCCAAAGTGCCTGAAGGCAGGACAAGAAGCAACGGATGGAAACTAACCAAAGAGAAGCAACCTGGAACTAAGGAGAAATTTTCTGACAATTAGAACAATTAACCAGTGGAACAACCTGCCTCCAGAAGCGGTGAATGCTCCAACACTGGAGGTTTTTAAGAAGAGACTGGACAGCCATTTGTCTGAAATGATATAAGGTTTCCTGCCTGAGCAGGGGGTTGGACTAGATGATCTCCAAGGTCCCTTTCAACTTTATATTATTATTATTATTATTATTATTATTATTATTATTATTATTATTATTACTGATATCACTGATGCTAACAGCAGCGTGTGATTAATTCAGAGGTTGCTGCCATAGCAATCCACCTAATTGCTTGAAGGATTTGGTCTGCCAGTGGGTGCCTTTTTGAGATAAATTTCTGGCTGGGAAAAGTTTTAACCTGATCCCAGTTTGTCATCTTAGTTTGTTTTCCTAGAAAGGAAAGGAAGCTCAGCTCTGCATTTCCAGAGCGGTTGAGCAATAGTGCATTTCAAAGTGCCCCGAGCTGGGTGGGCATATAAATTAAATAATTTTTTTTTTCTTTTCCAAAGCAGTAATGAGTGAAAGATAACTCCCAACATTTGCAAGGAGGAAATGTTTCTCCATTAAAAAAACAAGGAGAAGAAAAAGATTCTCATAACAAAATTTTATCAACATGAAAAATAGCAATAGCCCTTAGACTTATAGACCGCTTCACGGTGATTTACAGCCCTCTCTAAGCGGTTTACAGAGTCAACCTATTGCCCCCCCCCCAACATTTTACTGACCTCGGAAGGATGGAAGGCTGAGTCAACCTTGAGCCCGTCAGGATCGAACTGCTGGCTGAGGGCAGTGAGTTAGCCTACAATGCCGCATTGTAGCCATTGTGTAGGAAGAGAAGGGAAGGAAAGGAGAGGAAAGGAAAGGAAAGGAAAGGAAAGGAAAGGAAAGAGCACTAGCACTTAGACTTATATGCCACTTCACAGTGCTTTACAGCCCTCTCTAAGCAGTTTTACAGTCAGCCTCTTGCCCCCCAACAACCTGGGTCCTCATTTTACCGACCTCGGAAGGATGGAGGGCTGAGTTGACCTTGAGCCGGTGAGGATCAAACTGTTGACAGTCGGCAGAGTTAGCCTGCGATACTGCACTCTAACCACTGCACCACTACAGCCCTTCCCTTCCCACTTACCAATAGCACTTAGACTTATATACCGCTTCACAGTGCTTTACAGCCCTCTCTAAGTGGTTTACAGAGTCAGCCTATTGCCCCCAACAATCTGGGTCCTCATTTTACCGACCTCGGAAGGATGGAAGGCTGAGTCAACCTTGAGCCGGTGGCAATCGAACTGCTGGGAGTTGGCAGAATTAGCCTTGCCATACTGCATTCACACTGCACCACCACGGCTCTTTATCCAAAAATAAAAATAAAAATAAAGGTAAAACGGGAGGAAAAGAAAGAAAAGAGAAAAGTGTAGGAGGGGAAAAAAGAAAAAAACAGCACTCATTTGCAACTCCTTTTGGTGTAGTAAAATAAGATAAATGACATGAAACCTCGACTTTTTAACTTTTATATAAGTACAAAAATTCTCCTCTGCAGAAATGTGGGGCTATCGAGAAAGATAGCCCGAAATCATAACGTTAAAATTATTATTTTAACTTTTTTTTTTTTTGCGTGATAAGCGGCTTGCAGTAGAACTGTTTTGTCGGAATGTTTACATTGCTTTCATTTTGTGCTGTCCAAGGTAATTTGCAAGAACAATACCATCAGTATTCCTCTGACTTTTTTTTTTTTTTTTTTGGTAATCGTCACAATTGGATATTTGAGTGTGTCTGTGCACTTGTGATATGTTTTTCCTTCCTCTCATTCTTATCTCTTCCTGCGGCAACAAAGAAGCTTTAAAAGGAAAGGGAAGGTGTTAGGACGAAAGAGACTTTTGTTTACCCTCAGTAGCTTCAAACACAAGAAAAACTGGTTATTATCGTTGATTCCACAGTTATACACCCTGGGCTTCATTCGACGTTCAGAATTTTGCGGCCAGCTGGTCACCTTTGCTTTAAAAGAACATATCTGAGAAAAATAAGAAAACTGTGTTTTTTTTTGAAGACTTCAGTAAGAACTGAAGAAGCTTCTTGGAAGAGAACCAAAATGTGTTTAAGGGAAAATGAAATCCATCTGCCTTTTGACATAGCACCTTCGGGATAACAGTGATCAGAATAGAATAGAATAGAATAGGATAGAATAGAATAGAATAGAATAGAATAGAATAGAATAGAATAGAATAGAATAGAATAGAATAGAATAGAATAGAATAGGGAATGGAATGGAATAGAATAGAATAGAATAGAATTAGAGTAACATAGAATAGAATAGAATTAGAGTAACATAGAATGGAATAGAATTAGAGTAACATAGAATAGAATAGAATTAGAGTAACATAATAGAATAGAATAGAATAGAATAGAATAGAATAGAACAGAGAATAGAACAGAGAATAGAATAGATAGAACAGAGAATAGAATAGAATAGAGAATGGAATGGAATGGAATAGACTAGAATAGAATAGAATAGAATAGAATGGGGAATGGAATAGAATAGAATGTAGAGTAAGAATAGAATAAAATAGAACAGAATGTAGAGTAAGATAGAATAGAACAGAACAGAATGTAGACTAAGAATAGAATAGAATAGAATGTAGAATTAGAATAGAATAGAATGTAGAGTAAGAATAGAATAAAACAGAATGTAGAGTAAGATTAGAATTAGAATTACAATAGTGATGGAAGGGATCCTGGAGGTCTTCTATCTCCACAGATAATCTCATATTCACTTTCTTGGATCATAGAGAAAGATGGGACGACTTGCTAGGGTTTAGAGCAGCTTTTTCTTATAATTGATGTTCTTCTAAAGCAAACGTGACCAGCTCAGGGTGAAATCCTGAACAGGTTGAACGCAGCCTAAAGGTGTGTAATTGTGAAAGCATCCCGCTGCTTTTAGCGAGTTTTATCTCCCAGAAGGCCTGCGTCAGATTGAACTTTTAGCTAAGTAGCTAGGAAAGGTTTCAATAATTGGTGGGGAAAAAAGCATAATTTGTTCTCCAAGGATCACATAGGAAAGTTTTTGGTGCACAAATATTTCCGTTGTGTGTCTGTTCCTGGCTTGCAAAGCTGCTCCTTTGTCTTATGAATGAGTCAGAAGAATGAGAAGACGCAAAGGGCAGCAAACTCATGAATGACATTTTTGTCACCAATCTTTGAACAGCAGGAAAAGGCATCAATTATATGGTAATTTTATTGGGCAAACAAGCTATCAGTGCAAAGGAAAAAAAGGTTGGGTTGATCTGAGCTTCTGTTCTTTACTAGGCTACCTTGTGTTACAAGCCATAACTATGAATCATTAATTAGAATAGAGCTGGAAGGGACCTTGGAGATCTTCTAGTCCAACCCCCCCCCCCGCTCAAGCAGGAGACCCTACCATTTCAGACAAATGATGGTCCAATCTCTTCTTAAAAACTTCCAGTGATTAAATACCTATAAGGCAAGCTGTTCCACTGGTCAATTGTCCCCACTATTAAGAAGCTTCTCCTTAATTCCAGATTGCTTCTCTCCTTGATCAGTTTCCATCCATTGTTTCTTGTCCTGCCTTCAGGTGCTTTGGGAATTAAGTTGAACCCCCCTCTTCTTTGTGGCAGCACTGGAACACTGCTATCATGTCACCCCTAGACCTTTTTTTCTCTAGACTAGCCAAACTCAAATTCTGCAACCGTTCTTCATATGTTTTAGTCTCCAGGCCTTTAATCATCTTAATTGCTTTTCTCTGCACTTTTTCTAAACTCTCAACATCTTTTTTGTGATATGGTGACCAAAATTGGCTGCAGGATTCCAGGTGTGGTCTCACTAGGGTTTTTATAAAGCGGTACTAATATTTTGCGTGATCTTGACTCTATGCCTCTATTTATACAACCCAGGATTGTATTAGCTTTTTTGGCTGCCGCTGCACACGGCTGGCTCATAGTCAAGTGATCGTCCACTAGGACTCCAAGGTCCCTCTCATAGTTGCTGTTCTTGAGCCAGGTTTCACATCTAATCTGTACTTGTAGCTTTTGAAAAGGCTTACTCACACAGTGAAATATTTCTAATTTTTTTTAGCACACTCAAAATGAAGATGGAGAAGCAACAGTTGTCGTTGAAAGTGACCATTATATGGAAGACTTTTTCCTACAGGTAAAAATTTATGCTGGAAGCAACTTCCTTAATGCAGGTAGTCCTCAACCTATGACCACAACTGAGCCCCTGATTTTTGTTGCTAAGCAAGACAGTTGTTAAGTGGGTTTTACCCCCATTTTACACCTGCCTGTTGTAAAGTGATGTTAAGTTAGTGACACAGTTGCCAAGTCAATCTGGCTTCCCCATGGACTTCGCTTGTCAAAAGCTCACAAAAGAGGATCACATGACCCCGGGACGCAACCATCATAAATTTGAGTCAGTTGACAAGCCTCTGAATTTTGATCATGTGACCATAGGGATGCGGCGATGGCTGTAAGTGTGAAAAAAAAAACCAGTCCTAAGTTGCTTTTTCCAGGGCCATTGTATCTCTGAACGGTCACTAAATGGAAGTTGCAGGACTACCTGCAATTTCATGTCTACTCCTTTTGGGCACCAGGGACCGGCTCCGTGGAGAGAAGTTTTTCCGTGGACCGGAGGATGCGTGGTTTTGTATGCTGCCTGCATCCCACGGATGAGGCTTTGCTTGTTTGTGCAAACCGGTTGCTGGCATGCCAAAGCCCGTACCGGTCCACAGACCGGGAGTGGGGGACCCCAGGTCTTAGTTGGCCTCCAAAATATTTGGTTGTTTCAGAGCATGTAACTTTTCGCAAGAAAACAGAAAAAATAGTGGATTTGCCCAGAGAACTACAGACTTTCAAGCAGCAGAAACTAAACTCAGTGGTGTTCTGCAGGACTCCCCTGAGTTTTGTAATCCCTTTGTGGGTGCCAAAGAAGGGTCACACATGGCTTCCCATGCTTTAGGGATGGTCCCCAATGTTTATCTACTCAAAGAAACGGCTCCGGTCTGTGACACGTCCGGGTTGCCATCAAACATTTCTCCACCTTAATGCAGGATCTTGTTCATTACGGGTAGTCCTCGAACCCCCAAAATTTCTGTTGTTAAACGAGACATTTGTCAAATGAGCTTTGCCCCTTCCTTGCAGCTGTTGTGAAGTGAATCACTGCAGTAGTTAAGTTAGTCCCGTTGATGGGAAGTGAATCGGGCGACTTTGCTTAACGAAAGGGGATCGCGTGACCCCCGGGATGCTGCAAACCGTCATAAATAAGAGCCAGTTGCCAGGCATCTGGATTTTGATCACGTGGCCTGTGGGGATGCTGGGATGGTCGTAAGTGTGAAAAATGGTCCTAAGTCACTTAGTACAACTTGCCGTTGTAACTTTGAACAGTCACAAAATGAACTGTTGCAAGTCGAGAGACTATCTGTATTTATTATTGATTGATGAATTGAGTCTGCTTGGATGCCACCTACTCTCTAGAGCGCTAAGAGTCAGTGATTTAAACCTGCTTCCTGTTGATGCCTTTTCCTGCTCTTCCCAAGGTCGAGGAAGTTAGGAAGTATATCTCCAAAATCTCAGATGTTGTAGAAGAAGTGAGGAAGAAACACAGCGTTATCCTCTCGGCCACGCACCCAAAAGACAGTAAGTTTTTCCATCTCTGCGCCTTTTTAAGTGTGGCCATTCAGGGTACAGAACTACAGAATGACAGAGTTGGTAGGGACCTCAGAGGTCTTCTAGTCCAACCCCCTGCTCAAGCAGGAGACCGTAAACCATTCCAGACAAATGGCTGTCCAATCTCCTCTTAAAAACTTCCATTTATTTTGTTCTTCTTGTGTCATATCCCTTATCGGACGTTGGCGATCACGTTGGCGATCCCGTTTTTATCAGCAGCTGCACGAAAAAGTGCTGCCGAGTTTTGTCCAAACTAGTCCCTTACATTTTGAAGCCACGATGTTCTTCTTCTGCCTGGACCTCGTTGGCCTTCCATCTTTCCCTGGAGGATTAAATGGAGCATGCCGTATTTTTCTGGGTGTCGCATCACGTGTCCGAAATATTCTAGCTTACATTTTTTTAATTGTTTTGATGATTTCCCTTGGCTTTCCCAGGCGGCTTATCCCCTCCTCATTTCTGATTTTGTCAACCCAGCTTATGCGTAACAGCCGCCTGTAAATCCACATTTCAAATGCTTCTAGTCTCTTCAGGTAGCCTTCTCTCAGAGACCAGCTCTCTACTCCATAGAGCAGGAAAGAAAAAATATAGCATCTGACAAGCCTGATTTTAAGTCTTAGGCTTATGTATTTTTTTTTTTAAAAAAACCCACATCTTAAAAACCTCCAGGTTGCATGGAAAGTCACAGCGAGTGGCTTATAGCATCTATTAGAGCTAGCATCTAAAAAAAAAAAGAATTCATAATTTTTAATGCCATAATTTTACTGTAGACTGTATGTTTATTTTGCTGCTGGGGCTCAATTCTGTTGGCTTTGTAGTCCTGTTTATTTCTTGGCAGTTCCTACTCCTGCTACCTGACTGTTCATACCATATTCATATGGTGGTGCAAAGCATCCAGAGGGTATCCCATTGTCAAAAAAAAAAAAAAAAATCAGCAAAGGATGTTTGGAAAAGCAGCAAAATCACAATTTAGCAGATCACGATGCAACAGGCATCCAAGGCAACAGATGAAACTTCTGTTGCCTTGACATAAAATCACTACCGGTGACATAAAATGACCATGGGTAACATACTGTGCGTTCAACAGACGATTGGGAGTAAGCAACACCCACTCTCTTAATTGGGCTATTAAATTGAGGCTTTCCTATATATTTCGGGGGCTCTCTGATGAGTATACGGCCAAAGACTCAATCCCTCCCCCCCAATCAACTATTGTTGTGAACTATTTCTACACTATTCCACTCAAAGACCTCAGGTATGGAATGGAAGAATAATGTTCCATTCATCATTGGCATCCTTCAATCTCGAGAGACTATACCAGTGATGGCGAACGTTTTAGAGACTGAGTGTCCAAACTGCAACCCCAAACCCACTTATGTATCGTCGAGTGCCGGGTGGGTGTGGCCCATTGGGTGGGTGTGGCCTATTGGGTGGGCGTGGCTGCAGTGGTAACGGCAGACTAGGTGGGACTAAAAAGTTCAATCAATCAATTCCAACTTTGCAAGATTTTTTTTTCCCGCGAGAAGTTGAAATTGACTGATTGAACCTTTTTTTTTTGCACACGGTGGTGGCCTAAAGCAAAAAGGCTTTATAAAACCCAGCTGAAGGCCTAGGACTGGGGCGACGGCGTGTGTGCCCACAGAGAGGGCTCTGAGTGCCACCTCTGGCACCTATGACATAGGTTCGCCACCACTGGACTATGGTATCGTGCTCTGGAAAGAGGTCCTAAGGCAGCATCTGGTGTGGCTGAAAAGGCCAATTTGAGAATGGCAGTCCCTTCCACACTGAGGGCAGATACAATCTGTCCCCTGTCCAGCCCCCAGATTTCGCTGGTTCCGGGACTGCCTCTTTGACTCAGCCTGCCGCACAAGTGTCTCTTCGAATTGGAGAAGGCCATGCTGTGTCTTTAGCCTCCAGGCTGAACGATCAGAGGTCAAGGATTCCCAGCTGTTAATGTCCATCCTCAAGGCCTTTAGGACCCCTCTTGCTGCCTTATATCGCAGCTCAGGTCTCCCTCTGGGGCGCTTTCCTTGCACTAGTTCTCCGTACAGAAGATCTTTCGGAATCTGACCATCTGCCATTCTCACGGCATGCCCAAGCCAGCGTAGACATCGCTGCTTCAATAATGTATACATGCTAGATCAGTGGTTCTCAACCTTTTTAATGCCGCGACCCTCAACCGGTCGTAAGTCGAGGACTACTCAACCGGTCGTAAGTCGAGGACTACTCAACTGGTGCAGCACCGTTTGCAGAATGGGACTTTTGGTGGGCTCAGCAGGGCAGAGACAGCCTGGACAATTCCTATTGGCTTTTGAAAGCCAATAGAATTAGACTCTATTCAAGAGAGTCTATTCTATTGGCTTTCAAAAGCCAATAGAATAAAAGGAAGTAGCACAGCTAAGGAAAAGGGGGGGGAAAATGGCGGACTGCGTTGTTTGGCGACCCCCGTGAAATGGTCGTTCGACCCCAAATGGGGTCCCGACCCACAGGTTGAAAACCACTGTGCTGGAAATTCCAGCACATTCGAGGACTGCGCTATTTGGGACTTTGTCATGCCAGGTGATGCCGAGAATACGTCGGAGACAGCGCATGTGAAAAGTGTTCAGCTTTGAATGTTCCATTAAAATCCCTAAATCTTACTTCCAACAAAATATTCTTCCTCACATTAGGAGGAATTAAAAGGCGGTGTACCAAGACTGTATCCCATTAGCCCGAGCCTTTAAAAATCCACTTCTTTTCTTTAGCATTCATAATTGTGAGCTAATTTTAGCGCTCTGCTCTTAGACTCATGTATAGAATGAGCTAAATACAGTATACAGAGGTCTCCAGAGCCACGCCAGCCGTGCTTGGTACGGCTGTTTGACTGAGGGTTGTGAAGGGACAAGCATAGTTTTATTATTATTATTATTTTTAAAAAAACACCCCAGTTTCAATGTTAAAATGGATGTTTGTGGGGTTTTTTAAGTGTAAGAGCATTGCTGTCATTCTCCTGCATAATAAATTAAAATCGTAATTACCACAGATAAAGCACTTCCAAATTTTGAAGGAGTGCGTAAGGATCGCAAGTTCAAATGTTTCCTCTTTATATTTTCACCCTAAGAACAGAGGGGAAAGTCAAAACACTGGGAATCTGTGCTGCTGGATTCATTACTGGCTCACTAGAGGGATCTACAATATTGGGAATATTTTATTTATCTATTTATTTGTATTCCCCCCCTTTATTATTTTTCACAAATAACTCAAGGTGGTGAACATATCCAACGTGCCTTCCTCCTCTTATTTTCCCCCTAACAACAACCCTGGGTTCAGCTGAGAGAGAGGGACTGGCCCAAGGTCGCCCAGCTGGCTTTCATGACTAAGGCAGGACTAGAACTCACAACATCCGTGGTGATTGGCCCAAAGCCATCCACCCAGCTTTCGTGCCTAAGATGGGACTAGAACTCACAGTTTCCTGGTGATTGGTCCAAAATCTCCCAGTTGGTTTCTGTGCCTAAGGCAAGACTAGAACTCATGGTTTCCTGTTTTCTAGCCTGGTTGCCTTAATCCAGAGGTAGGCAACCGTGGCCCCTTCATGACTCGTGGACTTCAACTCCCAGAATTCCTGAGCCAGGCATGCTGAGGGGAAAGGGAGAGGTTTCCAAGCTGAGCCATGCTGGCTCAGGAATTCTGGGAGTTGAAGTCCACCAGTCATAAAAGAGCCAAGGTTGCCTACCCCTGCCTTAACCACTTGACCGAACTGGCTCTCTAATATTAATCAAAGAATAACAAAAAAAATTGCAGTGCTGTTTCAAGATATGTGATACTTAAGAGATAGCCTTGCCTGTAAATTCTTGCTTTTGGTCAGCTGATCAGTGGCTGGAGTATAGAGGATGCTTCTTGTGAACGCTAGTTGAAGAGTGCTGGGAGATAGAGCTGAATTATTTTGGACAGGAAAAAGGAAACAGGTTTTTTTTGTGAGTTGCAAGAGCTGGTGGGTGGAGATCCTTTCTTTGATTTGTCGTTTTGGTGTCGAGAGTTCCAGAAGACCATTATGAAACCCATGTAGGAGTTCAAGCAGTTTATAAAGGCAGCGTCCAAAGTTAATTTGTTGACCGGGGCGCAACTTTAGAACTTCGGAATCTTTGTCTTTCAACAGCAGAAGGAAAATGAGATCAGAACTGAACGTGAGACATGGAACAAGATTTGGGTGTCTTTAACTATGCAGGGTCATCCTTTGTTCTTCACCCATGAAAAGCAGCCTGCTAAGAGCTTGGGTGACACGTATAGGGGAAGGACAGACAGAGTCTGGGGGAGGAGTCAAGAGAGCCATCAGCCTAGAGTTGATACGTTCCCACAAATGGTCTAACACCTCTCGAATTCCATTGACTTATCTAGCATCAATTTAACGTTGACCAGATTCTTGTGTAGACTCTTGACTCCGGATGTTGACCATCCTAGTTCTGAGATTCCCCAATTCCAGGATCCTATATGAGAACATCATTGCATGTTCAGGAGGAGATGGACATCCACATGTGCAATGTTTGTTTGGGGAGCATTATCTATTGTGCTGAGTTCCCATTTCTCCTTTTATTAAAGAAACCAAGGAAGAACTCGAAGAACTGAACAAAGAAATCAGAAAAACAGCAAATATAGTCCGTGCTAAATTGAAGTGTAAGTATACCCTAACTGTGAGTAAAATTAAAAACTCTGAAGCAGTGAAACATACACTGTATAGAAATTTTTATGAAGGTGCCAGAAAAAAAGATCTTTGCTACAGTTGTGTATAATTGTTCCGTGGAGGGCATTGTATGCATTTGTACCGTGTGAAAGTTGGAAAAATCTTAATTGTCCTTATTAATGCAAGACTATCTGTTAATTTGTGTGTAATTGAGCGACTAATTGGGAGGATAAGTTCACCGTTTACCAAAATATAAATTTTCAAGTATGTCTGGGGTCCTGGTGACTTCATATAGACATCCTTTTTGCCAACAGCATAGTTGTTGTATTCTGGATTTTTTTTAAAAAAAAAAAAGATAGTCTAGCTGTGCTATTGGCTAGCACTCTCCCATTCCATTATTAACCAGGACCAGACCTGCTTATCTTCTAAGCTCAGGCAAGTTATTTAGGCTCTGACCCCTAAAATGTATTTGCTTTTATATTTAATCTAATGCAGTGTTTCTCAGTCTTGGCAACTTTAAGATGAGAGAATAGAATAGAATAGAATAGAATAGAATAGAATAGAATAGAATAGAATAGAATAGAATAGAGCAGAGGAATGAAGAATATGGAATAGAATAGAATAAAATAGAATAGGGAATATGAAAGAATAGAATAGAATAGAATAGAATAGAACAGAGGAATGAAGAATATAGAATAGAATGGAATAGAATAGAATAGAATAGAATAGAATAGAATAGAATAGAATAGAATAGAATAGAGCTGGAAGGGACCTTGGAGGTCTTCTAGTCCAGCCCCCTGCTCAAGCAGGAGAACCTATACAGTCTCCGACAAGTAACTATACAGCCTCTTTTTGAAAATCTCCAGTGATGGAGCGCCCACCATTTCTGGAGGCAAGCTGTTCCACTGGTTAATTGTCCTCACTGTCAGGAAGCTTCTCCTTAATTCCTGGTTGCTTCTGTCCTTGGATCAGTTTCCAACCATCGTTTCTCGTCTTGCCCTCTGGTGCTCTGGTGAACAACCTGCCCCCCTCTGCCTTGTGGCAGCCCCTCAAATACTGGAACGCTGCTATCATGTCTCCCCTATTTCTTCTTTTCTTTAGACTAGCCAAACCCAAGTCCCGCAGCCGTTCTTCGTATGTTTTAGCCTCCAGGCCTTGGATCATCTTAGTTGCTCTTCTCTGAATTTTTTCCAAACTCTCCACATCTTTTTTGTGACATGGTGACCAAAATTGGCTGCAGTATTCCAGGTGTGGCCTTACTAGGGTTTTATAAAGCGGTACTAATACTTTGTGTGATCTTGATTCTATGCCTCTGTTTATACAACCCAGGATTGTGTTAGCTTTTTTTGGCTGCTATGCACACAGCTGGCTCATATTATGTATGTATGCATGTATGTATGTATATATGGTAATGACTATCATCTCTGAAATGGTTTTGTCTGTTTTACAGCCATGGAACAAAATTTAGCTCGAGAGGAGAACATTAACCGAACTTCAGCAGATGTCCGGATACGAAAATCACAGGTAAATGTAGCAGATGAAGGTCAGTCTTGGCAAACCTTGGCCAAGCTGAGGGAGACCTAGGTGGGGGAAAGGGCATCGTTTATAAATTCCTTGGGAGAAGAAAGGAAAACTCGTGACTTGCCTTTTTTTTGGCTTGGTTTCAAAGAGAAGGATGCAGAAAACAATCGCAAGCTGTGAATTTGCTTATCTTCCCGTGAGGAAGGGCATTGTGAGACATTTTTGTTTCTTCCTTTTCCACAGTGTCCAGTTGAAAAGGGTGTCTAGGCTCTTGTTAAAAAGCAATCAGCTGACTTGCTGAATTGTCTAAACAAGAAGCCTTGTTGGCTGTAGGCCCTCATTCTTAGTGTGACCTATTGTTACGGGGAAGATTAAAAACTAGAGTGGGTGATGAAAGGCACTTATATAAATGAGATAGGTAGGCAGGCAGACAGATAGACAGACACAAAATAAAAACACTGATGGCATGTAGCCTGGATTCCCAGGAAGAATTAGCGGTAACTCATCCTGGATATTATGTGTTAGAGAAAGAGGGTGAAGACAAACACTCCCTAATAGTGTGTGCTTGATGTAGATAGTTAGAATGCTTTAGTTTGGCACAATACTCTATAGATTTGGAAACATCAACTTGGAAGAATCACCACGTGTCATTCTTGGGTTTGAGGCCTAACATAAAGATATAGTAACAGGATTTTGCAGGTTTAGATGTTCTTCCCTCCCTCTCTTTATCTTCATGAACAAGCAGGGGTCATGTGTGAGACACTTTCTCAGATTACGTTTCTGCCCTGGACTGAATGTTTTTTCATCCAACTGTTGTCTTGGTAGTGGCTCTTTCTTCTGTTCTGTCCTTTCTTCCTTTCTTCTGTCCTGGCCACTTTTAACAGAGGCACGATTGAGAATGTTTTAACAAACTGCATCCCTGTCTGGTTCAGTGGTAGCAGAGCCTTAGATAGAAGGTCCATATAGAGAGTGGTAAGGACAGCTGAGAAGATTATAGGAAGCTTGCTTCCCGTTATTCAGGATGTGGCTTACAAACACTTATATGTGCTTAGAGCTCAAAGCATTGTTAGAGACCCCACACCGCCACTTCATGGCCTGTTTCTGTTCCTCCCCTCTGGGAGGAGGTTTAGAAGTATTTATAGCAAAACTGCTAGATTCTGTAACAGCTTTGTTCCCTATATGACATCCGTCGGGTAAACTCGCAAGATTCGTTTTTCTCGCCAGATTCATGTATACATCCGAACTAGATTGTGTTGTTTCTCTGTGGCATAGAATATATGTGGGTATGTGGGTATATGCAAAAAAAAATTGGTCATATTTATGTAGTGTATATTGGGGGTGGTGACCCTTTGAGAGCTGTATGCAACAAAATTTCATTTTAATGTATGCCAGTTAGTGTACATTTAAATGTATAGCAGTTTTGCTATAAATACTTCTAAACCTCCTCCCAGAGGGGAGGAACAGAAACAGGCCATGAAGTGGTGGTGTGGGGTCTCTAACAATGCTTTGAGCTCTAAGCACATATAAGTGTTTGTAAGCCACATTTAAAGTGACAATAAAGTTATTCTATTCTACTCTACTCTACTCTACTCTACTCTACTCTACTCTACTCTACTCTACTCTACTCTACTCTATTCTATTCCTCAAGGTCATTCCTTCTACCCATTAGATGCCTCCTTTCAATAAACATTTGCAATCCTGCATCTATCAATTTTAGTAATGTCTGTAAAGCCCTTCACTATAAAAGAGAATTCTCAAACTAACTTGTGCAAAATCCCTTGGCATATCCCCCTTTCCAGCATTCAGTGTTGACCCGGAAGTTTGTGGATGTTATGACGATGTATAACGGAACTCAAACCGTCTTCCGGGAGCGCACGAAAGACCAGATACGGCGTCAGTTGGAAATAAGTGAGCGATCCTTCCTTGCTAATTTTTTTCCTACTCTGAAGAACCTGCCCCATCTTAAAAATGCGTTCTAGCAAAAAATATAATGCAAGGGAAAGGGGGATGATGACGTATCTTGCAAGAACACGGTCTCTTGTCATTTTTCCCTAGCTGGAAAAACCACCACAGATGAAGAACTGGAAGACATGTTGGAAAGCGGCAATCTGTCCATTTTCACTTCAGACGTACGTATTTCAAATCTGCATTTGCTGGCTTCAACATAGATTTTTATCTTTTGGGTCTAAAGCAGAGGATCCCAACCTTTTGGGCACCAGGGACCGGTTCCGTGGAGAGAGGTTTTTCCGTGGACCAGAGGGGGCGTGGTTTTGTGTGCTGCCTGCGTCCCACGGATGGGGCTTTCCTTGTTTGTGCAGACTGGTTGCTGGCAGGCCGCAGCCCAGTATCGGTCCACAGACCGGGGGTTGGTGACCCCTGGTTTAAGGGAACTTTGAGCAATACAAACAAATTGAATTAAAATCCAAAGATCTACAAATTCTGTTTTCTATCAAACGAAAATCAATAAGTGTACTTATTTCGTGTCTGTTCCTTCCTCTGACACCACAAAGATAATTTTGGACACCAAGCTGACCAGAGCAGCCCTTGATGAAATTGAGTCACGTCATAAAGATATTATAAAACTGGAATCGAGCATACAGGAGTTGCATGAAATGTTTATGGACATGGCGATGCTCGTGGAGGTTCAGGTGAGTCTGTAGATCCCATGGTATAACGTGGATGGTACTTTGTAGGCGGGAGAGTGCTGGAATAATAACTCTTGTTGTTAAAAGCTTGGCCTCGCCACGTAGGAAATGGCCTTCTAAGAGGGTAGAATCCCAGTTCTAAGCAAATCGACCAGCTTAGTAGCCATGGAGATCACATATAAAATAGGATATACTGGTCTGGCACTCTTCCCTGTTGTGCATTCAGTAGGAAACAATAATAACTGGTAATTTTAGTAAAAGACTTTGAATCATGTACACGGTGTGCCTATCACATTTATGACATGTGTTATTGTGAAACATTGATGCAAAACAATTCTACCTATAATCTTATCTGTCTGTCTCTCTCTCTGTCAATCAATCAATCTCCATATCTATCTATCTATCTATCCATCCATCCATCCATCCATCCATCCATCTATTTAGCTATCTGATTTGCCCACAGTTGAGTCCTATCTGTCTGTCTGTCTATCTATCTATCTATCTATCTATCTATCTATCTATCTATCTATCTATCTATCTCTATATCTATATCTGATCTCTTTGTCTCATCTCTCTCTGTGTGTCTTTATCTATCTGTCCATCCATCCATCCATCCATCCATCCATCCATCCATCCATCCATCTGATTTGCCCTCAATTGAGTCCTGTCTATCTATACATCTATATCTTATTTCTCTGTCTTATCTCTCTCTCTCTTACTCTGTCTGTACCCATCAATCCATTCATTTATCTGATTTGCCCGCCGTTGAGTCCTCCTGTCTCTCATAACTGAATATGGGAAGAATAGTCATTATATGTGGCTTATCAGGGTAAGAGTGGTGGGGTATCTAGAAATCAAAGACAGTGAGTGTGATTTGTTTGTTTCATTGCCTGGTTTTGCTAAAGCATCATTTAAAAAAAAACAAAACCCTGTTCTTGTTAATTATTGGGTGTGTTTAATTTTTATTTTGGTTCTGTTTATTTGGTAATGCCCATTTCATGTTTTCAATATAAACTGCCAAGAGCCAAGTAACTGAATGGTGTTTCCTGCGGCAGGTAGGTCTTTGTATAATGTTAATAATTATGCAATTATTGGAGAGGAGTTTCCATGAAAATCCAGCCCATCAGGAAAATGAGTGTCACCTTTCTTCTTTTGATGTTTTTCCCCCGTTTCATATGCATTAGGGGGCAGTAAATCAAATAAAAATTCTAAATAGTATTTTCTGGTTTGAAAACATTTCTTGGGTGCTCGTGGCTATGACTATTTCTTGGGGAACCATTATGGGAGTGTTAAGATTAGTTTCAAATTCTCTTTTCTCAGAAGGCTTTCCTTCAAACATTATCTAAATTATCCCATGTGCTTATGAATGTTTTTCATCCTTACCACAGGATGAAATTAGTTTTCGTAACTAAGTCACCCTGCTCTCTGAATTTTCATGAGCTGACACTTTTAAGTTCCTTTCTTGAAAAAGGCCTAGAAGGGAATGTTGTAACAAACTTTTTAAACATTTTGCTGTTTATTGCTGCTGATTATGTCTGCTGATGGATAGAACGAGCCAGGTAAAACTCTCTTCTGTAATATGTCCATCTTTTCCCACGCCATTCACCAAATTGCTTCATCAAACCCACATTAATGGCATAGACCGGCATTTTAATAGAGGTAGATTTCAGTACTGTTGGCTGGAATGGGCTTCATTTTAGTTCCTGCAGGTGGGGATCTATGTAGACCGTTTTTAATTTTTTCTCCAACCTTGGCAACTTTTGAAGACGTGTGGCCTCCCATTCCCTATTAGAAGGTCTGTCCTGAACAGGCTCTACAAAATAAAATAAATCTCATCTTTGTAATCCAGCTTTCTGTGTTTACTCTCCTTTTGCTTGTTGGTGGGATTTCCTGGCGTTCCCCAGTTAAACGTCCCACCTTCAAATGAAAAAAATAAAGCCAGCCTAACACTGTAGTAATCAGTGCTCAGTCATTGAAGGGTGCAAAGAAATGGCTGCTAACACACAGCATTTTATTGTTTTTATAGAGTTTTACAAAGAGCAAAAGTTACTGCATGACAATAGCATTTCATTGGCTAAAATCCTTTACCAATCCTCGAGAGTAAAAAAGCCAGAGGCCATAAACAGGGAATAGTTGGCAATCACATCTTGTTGTTTGCGAGACTGGCCAAGGTCACACAGACCTGCATACTTCCACATCACTATGGTGATGTGAGGGGGGGGGATAGATGCAGAGAAGACACAAGCGTTGGGGGGGCAGTTTTCTGCACACGATCTTTGCCTGTCTCTCACCTCTACATAACATTTCCGTCTTTGTTTCTGGGAATGCCATCACAACCGTTGGTCATCCTCACGTAATCATCCCATCCTTGACTTGGTTTGAATGGGTGTCATCTCAATTCTGTTGCTGTTGAGAGGATTCCAGAAGGGGACCTTACTGAGGGGTCCTGGGTGCTCTCTGAATTTGCTTGTTTTCTTGCAGACGTTTCATGACCCCAACTAAGTAACAGCATCAGTGTTAATCCTAGCTGATTAGTGTTAGCATTGATGATGTGACCTAGTTAGGGTGATGAAACGTCTTCAAGAAAACAATCAAGCTCAAGAGAGCGCCAAGGACCCCTCATTTTAACCCTGAACTGCAAATAATTCTCCTTCATTGGTGACATTAATTGCCAAATTCTGCTCTTTGTTGTTGTGTGTGTCTGGCTTTCCCCCTCAAAGGGTGAAATGGTCAACAGCATCGAAAAGAACGTGATGAACGCAGTGGACTATGTAGAACACGCCAAGGAGGAGACGAAGAAGGCTGTCAAATACCAAAGTAAAGCGCGTAGAGTAAGTCTTCCCGTGGGCAAACCTTGATCCGTTGTTTCCGGACCTTTTTTTTTTTTAATGTTGTGTGTTGTCTGGCAAACCACGCAGTCCTTCCCGTGCCACAGTCCTTCCAATGGTTACCGAGAGTTCTGGACTTACAACCAAAATGGGGAGTCAGCATGGCTAAGCCTTGCCAAGCATGGCAGTTGTTAAGAAGTGGAGCCATGCCTGATTTGATGCCCTTTCGGCCCCAGTTATTAAGCAAATCCCTACAATTATTAAGTGAATCGTGCAGTCGTTAAGCGAATCCAGCTTCCCCCATTGACTTCCCTTGTCGGGAGCCAGCTGGGAAAGTCACAGATAGTGATCACAGGAGCCCAGGACGATGCAATTATCTTAAATAGAGGCGCCAGTTGCCAAGTGCCCAACTTTTGATCAGCTGAATGTGGAGATGCGGCAATGGTCCTAAATTCAAGGACCGGTCGTAAATCTCTCTTTTTTCCCCCAGTGCTGTTGTAATGTTGAACAGTCACTAAACAAATGGTTGTAAGTCAACGAATGCTTACTAATGTTGAGGTCCAGCTGCTGTATCCGAGTTCCTCTCTGCCTGTTGACAACTGATTCAATTTCCATTTAGAACTAAAAAAAAACCCAACACCTTAACCGAAAGAATTGCCTTGTTTTCCTTTGGCAGAAAAAATGGATTATTCTCATTATTGTGCTGGTGCTGTTAGCTCTACTGGCTCTAATAATTGGCTTGGCTGTTGGGGTGCCGTGATGCTTAGCTAACTGCCCGTGAGCAACTGTCTCTCTACCTCTAGTAAGTACTAATGGTGACTAGCTGGCCTTACCTGTTAACCTTTTTTTCTAAACCTGTAATCCGTGTTTTTGCTGCAATGTTGCATGTACGCTTGTTTTCTTCCTAGCCTTTGCTCTGAGACCAAAAAAGCAGAATTTGCACGGGGTCTTAGACCTCCAGTGGCTAATTGCTCTAAGTATTTTGGTTTGCATTCCAATATTTCTTGGGCTTAAAATCCAGTTGATTTTGCTCTGCTTCCCTAGGGCCCGGGGTTTTTTTTGGGGGGGGGGGAGGCTAGTAGGAAGATGGAAGTTTGGGATTTTACAAATAGTTTTTCATCAATTTATAGAAGAGGATGGGATGAAGGGAGATTGAGGATTAAGATTGCCATCTGTAATCCCCTCCTGATCTAGGCATGTTAGATGGATTTCAGCAGATCTTTTGGGGAGAAGTTGACTCTTTAGATCAGTTGGCTACCTCTTTCCTCCTTGCTTGAAATTGCTTGCCTCTGTATTGTTATGATGAAAATCCTAAAATGGAAAGAGTGCGGAGAAGAGCAACAAAGATGATTAGGGGACTGGAGGCCAAAATATATGAAGAACGGTTGCAAGAATTGGGTATGTCCAGTTTAATGAAAAGAAGGATGAGGGGGGACATGATAGCAGTCTTCCAATATCTCAAGGGTTGCCACAAAGAAGAGGGAGTCAAGCTATTCTCCAAAGCCCCTGAAGCAACGGATGGAAAGTAATCAAGGAGAGAAGCAACCTAGAACTAAGGAGAAACTTCCTGACAATGAGAACAATTAATCAGTGGAACAGCTTGCCTCCAGAAGTTGTGAGTGCTCCAACACTGGAGGTTTTTAAGAAGAAATTGGACAACCATTTGTCCGAAATGATATAGAGTTTTCTGCCTGAGCAGGGGGTTGGACTAGAAGACCTCCAGGGATTCCATCCAACTCTGTTATTCTGTTAATTCACATCTCGCCTCTGTGGTTTTTATACATCTGTGTGTCACTATTTGAGGATGCGCTAACCCTAGTTTCCCCTCTCTTTGCAGAAACTGATGTTCATGCTAATTTGTGTCACTCTCTTGATTGTTATCCTTGGAGTTATCCTAGCTGCATACTTCTCCTAGCGTTTGTTCGGAGGTTGGGAATCTCCTGAATCTCTTCCACAGGGCAGCCAAGTTCTCATCAAGATGCTTTTTCTTGCCATAACAAGGATTTTCTGTTTTCCAAGATGGCAAAATTAGTACTTGTCTTGTAGGACTCTAATGCTTTGATATCTGCAGACCTGAAACAAACGTGAAGGAAGCTGGAACGCCTCTGATGTGGACTCATTTAAAGGCTGCTTTAATTTACAATGCATGCAAATATATATGATGGGTTGCAAACGTCCAGTACATCAGTGTTACCAGTTGGAGATGGGTAGATTCGTCACCCAGAAATAGAGATCTTGACATTTGCCTTGTTTGAAATTAAAGCAGCCATATTTGCCATTGACTGTAGCCGTAAACACTGTGTTTCAGAGGTATGTTTCATGAGAATAATTGCGTTTTATTTTTAAGCAAAAATGATTGGGATTGGGGCATAAAATGGCTTTCTCCTCTCTCCAGTTGTCGTGCGTTTTTAAATCATCTTAAAACTGCTGCATAATATCGGTAAACAAAATGTTTTCAACGTTTTAATCGCTTCAAGACCACAGGGTGGAAATCTTAAGTGCCTCCTTTTCTAGCAGCAAAACTGCAAACTGTTTTGGGGAAATGTCAGCACTGTTGTTAAATAATGTTAGTTTACTTGTTGTCCCAGACTGATCTGGTTCACACATAAAGCTGGGGCAAAGTCAGGGCTAGGATTCAGTCTTCACACTCAATTGTCCTCTGGCTGATCAAAAATGTTGTATTTCTTTGTATACAGAAAGTACTTTGGCATTACATTTGAGCCAGTGGTCCTAATTTAAAGTAAACTCTGCTCAGTTAAATCAAGTGGCAAATTAGCCCAGGGCTTGAAATTGACACAACTTGAAATTGACTAATCTTAGTTTGAAACCATCTTGCCCACGGAAATTCACAATTAGCCCATTGTCTCATCAAATGAAATTAACCTTGATTTGAATCCTATGATCCTTCAGAGGACGAAGAGCATTCAGGATCCCAATTCTTAGCTCTGCCATCTTCCTGCTTCCCTGCAAAGCTTAACACTAAACCCAACTTTAGTGTGATGTGTGAACCAAGCCTTCCTCGCCTTAAAGATAATACACTGTGAAGTTTATTAAGCTATTTTGTTTTGTGCGTGTCTGTTTTAATTTCAGATTTTTCTTTCTAAACACTCAAAAGGCATGTGAAGATAAGTGGGAGGGGGGCTGTTTGCACCTGATTTTAAGCTGCTGTTGAGAATGGCCTTTGCCCCATCTTTGAACCCCTTCAGTCAAAGAACTGGAGAAGATCTGTTTTGTGTGAAACAGGTGTATATGTGCAATTTGGGCACCGTGAGTTTGCAAAGTTGCTTCTGCAGCTCTCCATAAAGTTAGCAAAGCAGCTGTTGAAAATGAACTTTTAGGTTGTGCACACAGAAGTCTAACAATGGGGAACGAAGTTGCCTTCAAGTTGAATTTTATTTCTTAATTCCCCTAAGCTGGAATATGAAAGGAAAAGGGGCTTACTTACCAGCGGAGTAAAATTGGGATTGTGTTACAACTTGGTCTAAAGTGCATTCAGTCCTTACTTTTCTGGTTGCTAGCCCGCTGAGGAACTATGACGAATAAAGGTCTTTGCGGTCATCTTTTTAAGGCATTCGTCTTAAATTAAACCCTGATTTTGTTGGAAGAGCTGACTCCCAAGAGTTGATGTGGTTTGCAAAAATCTCATTTTGATGGTGGTTAGTTGCACTGAAGTCCTGCAGACTTTAATGGGGTGGGTTACATATTTCCCTCTAGGTCTGAACCTGGAATGTCCAGCTGTTAAGAATTTTTATAAACAATTCAGAGGCCACCGAAACAAGTTGTGTCTTAACCTCGCTTTACTGTTTTGTTTTGGGCATAGTATTATTCCTGTAAATATACGCACATGTAACTGTGTTTTGCTTTCTTATTGTGAAAGTATATATGTAGATATTTATGCCGAGAATGAAATAAATGGTGATAGGTGCCTTATTCATTTTTTAACAAAACCTGCTTGGACATGCTCTTCTTTTGGCGTTTTCATTCAAGCATTAATGACAGCTTTATTTTTCCTTGCAGCTAATCCGTTTCCTCCCCATTTTATTTGGCACATTTCGAGGGCATTTTGTATGCGCTTTAAGGACCTTGAGGCTAATTTTAGGAATGGGCATTTTGAAGTATCAGTTCTTCTGCGGTGTGGAACGTCTCAAAAGTTTTAAAATGGGACAGCTTGGCCTTCGATGTTGACTTTGCTTGTGGGGATACGCTCTGAAAGAATAATTGATTTGTTTATGGCTGTAAAAAAAACAGCTTCTCTTCACGGAGAGAGGTTTGAAAATAAATTGGGAAAAGGGAACAGTCGGACGATTTAAGCTAGGGGCAGAGGTGTCCAACCTTGCTATCTTTCAGACCTGTGGACTTCAATTCCCAGAATTCCCAATTCCACAGGTTTTAAAGTTGCCAAGATTGGACACCTCTGCCTTAAGGCTTTTAAGTTTATTTTTATGGTCTTTTTAAAATGGGGGCTTGACATCCTCAATACAGAAAAAAAAATGTCCTTTGGATATAAACAAACTTCCTAAAAATGTAGTCCTTGCTGGTTTCTGTTTTTCATGCGTTTGTTCGTTTTTTTTCATGATGCTACAGCAATAGCTTTCAAGAAACTCCTGTAGAGAGCTCCGAAGAGGGTTTTGTGTTGGCTAAAAAGAGGGGCGTTTGGTTAGCTGGAATTGATCAGGATTACAACCAAGATGGTTGTGAAGACCCACTTCTCTCCCTTTTATCTGTGCCCAGGCCTTTGCAATATTGGCAGTCTCTCTGCTTCCTAACATCAAAACAATAAAATAATGAGCATTACAAGAAACAATGTTTTAAAAATCAGTACTACCGTATATGCCGGCGTACAAGGCGACCCGGCGTATAAGACGACCCCCGTCTTTATTGCCGAGTCACATTCCTAGAACGTCGTCTTATACGCCGGAAACTACCAGTATTTCTGGCGTATAAGACAACTCGGCGTATAAGACGACCCCCGTCTTTGGCGCCGATTTTAGCGCTCGTGGAAGTCGCCTTATACGCCGGCATATACGGTATATCCTAGGCACTGGAGGCATGCAAAATCCTAGCCCTTTTCTAATCATCTTTTAATTCATTTCAGAACTTCCTACAAAAAAAAAAAAGCAATATGTTCAAGCAATTTATTTATTTTTTTTAATTGACGCAAGGTTGATTCAGCCTTCCATCCTTCTGAGGTCAGTAAAATGAGGACCAAAATTGTTGGGGGCAAGAGGCTGACTCTGTAAACTTCTTAGAGAGGGCCGTAAAGCACTGTGAAGCAGTATATAAGTCTAAGGGCTATTGCTAGCGCGATTGCTTCTTCCTTCCTTCCTTCCTTCCTTCCTTCCTTCCTTCCTTCCTTCCTTCCTTCCTTCCTTCCTTCCTTCCTTCCTTCCTTCCTTCCTTCCTCTCCCTCCCAAACTCTGCCCACAGCCTAGAGTTCAGTCCTGACTGGCTCAAGATTGACTCAGCCTTCCATCCTTCCGAGGTCAGTAAACTGAGGACCCAGATTGTTGAGGACAACAGGCTGATTCTGTAAATTGCTTAAAGAGGGCTGTAATGCACTGTGAAGCAGTATATAAGTCTAAGTGCTATTGCTCCTTCCTTCCATCCATCCATCCATCCATGGTGTGCAGTGGAATAAAGACCTGGCTTGTAAACCCTTTTATAAAAGGGGATTAGAAAAGTCTCAATGGGTGACTTCTACAGTGTGAAAGAGATTCAGGAACATGTCTTAATATTCCTCGTCTCTAAAAATAATGACATCTTAAGAAGACCTTAGCCAAGTTCATAAGCTGAGACAGCCCCTGATCTTCTGCTGAAGTAGGTGTCTCTTAATCATCTTCTTTCTTCTCTTCATATACTGGAGGAGGCTGGAGGAAACCAGAGAATCCTCTATATAATGCTTTCAGGGTTTAATCTCAATATCTGCATATCCAAGGAGTCTGAACAGCTGTTGTTGTTCTTTCTTGGGTCTTCAGAAGGACACCTGAACAGTTGCATCAGAACTCCTGGATACACTGGACTACATTTCAGGAACTGAGAAGTTAGAAACTGGAAGAATGTGTGGGTTTGTTTTTTTTAGTCTTTTTCCAGTTAATAATGTTCAGATTTTTGCCTTGAAATTCTTCACCCCTTTTCTCAATGTATTTTATCATTCCCTCCCCCCTTTCCACTTTACGGCGAAAGAATTTTGTCGGTTGCGCAGATTGTAACTGAACAGTAGAGGGCATCTGGACTCTTCCCCCCCCCCCCCGTTGCCTCAAAGTCATGTCCATGTAGTCTCCTTGACAATAGCATGAAGCTTATTTGCAGCTATCTTGCCCAGAAAGAGTTCCCACCTATCCACCCAAACTTTTCAGACTGTCAGACATCCATGGGATGTTCTGGCAGTCTCCCATCTACAGATTGTCAGTCTACTCTAGCTTGGTTTTTTTTTTTTTTTTTTTTTGACCAGCCAAAGTTTAACCAGGACCTACCGTCTACTGTAGGCCTTCATTCATTTTGACCAATTTAAAATAAAATCAGATCAAAGCTAGCTATAGCTATTCCTTCCCCTAATTTGGATGGAATGCCATATTTTGACCAGAGTTTAGAGTCCATTCACCAGTTTTATCTGAGACGTTGATGATCTCAAGATCACTCAAGTTAACTTGATGTCTGCAAAGAGGAAGCCATGCCTTGCTGGTTGGCCTAACTCCAATATCCCATGGATCCATTGGAAGATGTCTTACGTTTGGAAAACAAGAGGTCCTCTCATTCCCTTATGTCCAAAGACGAGATAGAAACCTTTCTCTACAGATGTTGCTGAAGACTCACTATTATTTCTCATCATTGGTCAAGTTGGTGACATGTAAAATCCTGGCTCCATCCTCATTTACAGAACATCCTAGTCTTTTTTGCAAAGGTTCTTCATTTGGGTAAGGAACAATCTTGAATTAGCCCAGCATCTTTCAATCTGATGCATTCGATATGTGCCAGAATGCTTAAGAAACTGAAAAAAAAAATAGCAACAAGAACACATTCAGACATGAGATGAACAAAAAACTCTCAACAGAAAGAGAAAACGAGACCCGTTGATGGGGAATCTCAGGATGTCTGTGTTTAGGCTTCTTGTGCTTTCTCAGATCGAGGGATCAAGTCTTTGTAATCAGCTTAGATCAGTGGTTCTCAACCTTTTTAATGCCGCGACCCCCAACCGGTCGTAAGTCGAAGACTACTCAACCGGTCGTAAGTTGAGGACTACTCAACTGGTGCAGCACCGTTTGCAGAATGGGACTTTTGGTGGGCTCAGCAGGGCAGAGACAGCCTGGACAATTCCTACTGGCTTTCAAAAGCCAATAGAATAAAAGGGAGTAGCACAGCTAAGGAAAAGGGGGGAAAATGGCGGACTGCGTTGTTTGGCGACCCCCGTGAAATGGTCCTTTGACCCCAAATGGGGTCCCGACCCACAGGTTGAGAACCACTGGCTTAGATGTTCATGGGGTAAATAATGTTCCATAAGGGGATTGCCATCTCTTTTAAGTGGAAAACCTGCAAACGTTTAGAAATCATTTTACTGTTTGAAAAATAATAATTTCAGCGTGTGCATCCATACAGACCCTTTTACCAACTGCCGGATCCTACTTCAGAGGTATACGCCCGTGATTTCTAAAGCTTGCCGTTTAGCTTCTGGAGCGCCTAAATTTTTTGTTTTGTTTGCTTAAGATTTGGAAGAGAAGTGTAATGGCACATGGGAAAGACCCTTGGAAGACCAGGAGAAGAGATGCTACCAAGAGAAAGGTCAGATAAGAGACAGCAAAGCCCAGAGCTGGATAATAGGTAGAGAGAGATGCTTAGAAGGGACTCTCCCTAGTTTTCTCATCCTGTAAAGGAGGCAGCTGTAACGGGAATGTGACACAGACCTTGTGAGATGAGTGAAGAGATGATGCCAAGGAAGGAGTCAGATAAGAGACAGCGTAGCCCAGAGCTGCATAATAGGTGGAGAAGGATACTCAGAAGGGACCCTCCCTAGTTTCTTAGGCCGTAAAGGAGGGGGCTGTAATGGTATGTGAGAAAGACCTTGGGAAATAGGGAGATGAGATGCTGCTTAGGGAACAGTCAGATAAGAGATGGCACAGCCCACAGCTGAACAATGGGTGGAGAAAGACACTCAGAAGAGACCCTCCCTAGTCTCTAGGGCAATAAAGGAGGGGGCTGTAATAGTATGTGAGAAAGACCTTGGGAAATGGGGAAATGAGATGCTGCTTAGGGAACAGTCAGATAAGAGGTGGCATAGCCCAGGGCTGCATAAAGGGTGAAGAAAGACACTCAGAAGAGACCCTCCCTAGTTTCTTAGGCTGTAAAGGAGGGGGCTGTAATGGTATGTCAGAAAGACCTCGGGAAATGGGGAGAAGAGATGCTCTTTAGGGAACAGTCAGATAAGGGACGGCATAGCCCAGAGCTGCATAATGGGTGGAGAAAGAGGCTTGGGGGATTCTTCCCATGTTATTAGCTGTAAAGGTGACAGCGTGAGAACTGTGATCGCTACCTGTAGTTTAACAATAGCAGGGACAAGTATCTACTGAAGGAATATGGTGACCTTACAGGAAGGTCTGGTGGAACACAGCCAAGAAACATGGAACAGCTGAGGAAGCCGTCCCAGAAGGACCTCTTGTGGCTGCAGAGACCCCCCTCTCTGTCCAATCTACTGGGGCATCCGCGTCCATTTTATGGACACGCCTGGTACGTCAGCTTGGGAAAATGCCTTCTGTCGTCTCGGACGTTGGAGAAGGTTCATTTGCAAAAGGCACAGGAGATCCTTGGCTGCAGAAAAGCCCTTGGCTTGAAATAAGGACAGAGGCTCTTGCACTGATAGTCGATTCTTGAGAAATAGCTTTGGCAAAGGCGTGCAAGAAAAGATATGAAATATTTTCTCTCTCTCCGCCCCCTTTTAAAACAGCTCCTCTCACCTGGCCCAGCGCAAACATGATCAGATCTTGCTTTCGTGGGTCCCGTGGCGTTTCCATTTCTCTTCTTTCACCCTCCTTCCTCCAGTTGCTAGGCAGCTGCTTGATCACCCAGTGAGAAGTTGCAAATTGGGAATGCAAGTTGATTGCAGTCTTATTTTGTCAAAGACAGGAAAGGGGGGGGGACCTCTTGGTTGGAAACCTCCAGCCAACATCTCTGAAATACCTTTCCGAGGGAGATTTTCAAAGGTAGGTTTGTGCTTGGGCCCATCTGTCTCCAGGACCTCTTATCAGCTTCTCCTACCATCCCACCCATCCATCTCCTGGTAGGTTCTCCCCAAGACCTGTTGAGGAGCTCTCCTGTGCCAGCCTTGGGGGGGGGGGGAAGCTGAAGCTCTTCATCCCGCTAGCACTTCCCCACCCTCCTGGCCCACCGCCCCAGGCTTAATTTCCCCGCATTATGCTGCTCTCTTTCTCTCTCTCCATCCACCCTCTCCAGCAAGTGGGCCTGGCCGAGGCAGGCTGCCGATGCTCGGGTGGTGGAAAAGCTCTCCGCCAAGCCCAGGAAAGCCATCTTGGCGTGTGTCCAGGCTGTGCGTGTGTGTGTGCGCGTGTGGGTTCTGTGCACGGCACAGGCGTGCCAAAGTGCTGCTGTTCCATAGGCTGTGGCGCCTGCTGCATGGCCAATGATGCACCCTGCCTGCCTCCCCGCACACAGTCCCAAGAGCCTTTGGACAGCTCACAGGCGCACGGGGGCTGCCGGCTCTTCTGCTTCTTCTTCCTCCTCCTCCTCCTCCTCCTCTTCTTCCTTTCAGGACAGCGGCCACCCAAGTCCAGACCGAGAGCTCCTTCCTCTGATTTTATTTTCCAACTGATTATTTCTCTGCTCCTGCCTCTCTCTCCCTTCTCCACTCCGGTTTGCAACCTCCCGTCTCTAGGGGAAAGCTGCATTCTGAAGGTAAGGCACGGAGCGATTTATTTCATTTTTTACGTTTGGCCGATGGTCTGCTGCCATTCTGCTCCTTCTTCCTAAAAATAGCTTTATCTGCTTAACTGGCTTAAGAGGTTCACCCACCCTGGGCCTGCCTGCCTCCCCCCCCCTCTCTCTCTCTCTCTCTCTCTGTGTGTGTGTGTCTCTCTCTCTTTCTGCCTCTGTCCCTCCTCTCTTTTTTTAATTTTCTCTCCCCTCTAACCCCTTTTGGGGCTGACCAACCACCCCACTGCAGGAGAGGTCATCCGGATAGCAGCCAAACTTTCCTATTCTGCTGGAATGTAGCTCTTTGGGGCGGTGGGGGCCTTTGATGTCCTTCAAAAGCTTCCTAGATAGGGAGGGGAGTCTGCTTGGCTGGCCGGTTGAAAGAAACGGCCTGTCTCTGAGGCCGGCAGCATAAGATCTGCACACCGGATTAAACCCTTTTGCTAGATTATTCTCTCTCTCTCTCTCTTTTTCTTTCTTTCTTTCTCTCCAGCTTCTCTGCCGTTTGGCCCTTTGCTCTTCCTTGCCTCTGTCCCCCTCTCCTGCCCACCCCCCACCCCCATCCCCTCTTTGGGTGATGCATGATTAAGAGGAGAAAGTACGTGCATCTTTTTAAGGAAAGGAAAAGGAAAACCCTGTGTCATCTCCCCCGGATATGATCTTGGCCTCTTCTGAAAGCTGATGTTTGAAGCTGCTTCTTTGCAGCCACGGCCTGAATGTCTGCACCACCGAGGGGGAAACTTTGTCATCCTGCTAATCAATGTCTTTCTGCTCCCTCCGCCCCCCCCCCCCCAGTCCTCCAGTTTCACTTCCTTCCTCTTTGGTTTCATGGGATCCGTGGCTTTTCCAGGCAGGCTTTGAGCCTTGAAATGCCTGCTGCCATTATGCCCCCCTATCTATCTATCTATCTATCTATCTATCTATCTATCTATCTATCTATCTATCTATCTATCTATCTATCTATTTCTCTCTCTCTTTATCTCTATCCACCTCTCTCTCATCTCTCTCCATATATCTCCATCCCTATCTATCTATCTATCTATCTATCTATCTATCTATCTATCTTCTGTCTATCATCTATCTAATCTTGATAGTTTTCTATATTCATGTCCTATCTCTCTATCTCTATCTATCTATCTATCTATCTATCTATCTATCTATCTATCTATCTGTCTATCTATATCATCTCTCTCTTTCTCTCTCCCTCCCTCTTCCCCTCCTTCCCTCTTCCCCTCCCTACCTTCCCTTCCCCTTCTCTCCCTCTCCCTTCCCTCTCTCTCCCTCCTTCTCTCCCTCCTTGTCTTCCCTCTCCCCATCTCCCCTGCTCACTCCCTTCCTCTCTTATTTATTTTATTTATTTATTTATGAGACTTATATACCGCTTTAAGCGCAAGCACTCTCTAAGCGGTGTACACCAGTAAGCATATATATATATATATATATATATATATATATATATATATATATATATATATATATGTAGGTCTTTGGTTTTCGGGTTTTCTCCCACGTAAAATTGGAAGTGTCTTGGCGACGTTTCGACGAAGTCCCATTCGTCATCTTCAGGCTGGTGCTTTCAGCTTCGTGCCTCGAAGCTGAAAGCACCAGCCTGAAGATGACGAATGGGACTTCGTCGAAACGTCGCCAAGACACTTCCAATTTTACGTGGGAGAAAACCCGAACAACCAAAGACCTACATACAAATACCCGCGAAAACCTCAGAAAACAAATATAATATATATATATATATATATATATATATATATATATATATATATATTTATTTATTTATTTATTTATTTATTTATTACATTGCCCCCAACAATCTGGGTCCTCCTTTTACCTACCCCGGAAGGATGGAAGGCGGAGTCAACCTTGAGCCGGGGAGATTTGAACCACTGACCTGCTGAACACAGTCAGCTAAAGTGGCCTGCAGTCCTGCACTCTTAACTGCTGCGCCACCTCGGCTCATATCCTTCCCCCCCTCCCCCCTCTCCCACTCTTCTCTCTCTTTCTCTCTCCTTCTCTTTCTGTCTCTGTCTGTCTCTGATGAAATGAACTGTTTGGGATGAAATCCACCATGGGGTTTCCAAGTATCTCTTTGCCTCTTGCCTCTTGGCTGCCTCTGAGTGGGTGACGGGCGGTTGGGAGAAGAGGGTCCACCACGCTTGGCTTGGAGGAGGACGGGATCGGACACCCTCTTGAATTTCAAAGTTATCCATCCTCGGGGTTTGGCAAGCTGGTTCTGCAATGGAGTGCTTTCATTGGTGTGGAAATTACCCTTTAGGGAGCTTCTGAGCGTGCAAGTGTGTGTATATTTGTGTACGGGTCCATGTATAGGTATAGTGGTTAAGGCACCAGAAACCAGGAGTGCATGAGTTCTAATCCTGTCTTAGGCGTGAAAGTCAGCTGGATGATTTGGGACCAGTCACCAGGAGATGACAAGTTCTACTCCCGTTTTAAGCATGAAAGCCGACGGGGTGACTTTGGGCCAATCACCAAGAGATTGTGAATTCTAGTCCTGCCTTAGCTGTGAAAGCCGATTGGGTAACTGGGCCAATCACCAGGAGACTGTGAGTTCTAGTCCCGCCTTAGCCGTAAAAGCCGGCTGAGTAACTTTGGACCAATCACCAGGAGACTGTGAGTTCTAGTCCGGCCTTAGCCGTAAAAGCCAGCTGAGTAACTTTGGACCAATCACCAGGAGACTGTGAGTTCTAGTCCGGCCTTAGCCATAAAAGCCGGCTGAGTAACTTTGGACCAATCACCAGGAGACTGTGAGTTCTAGTCCTGCCTTTGGCATGAAAGTTGACTGGGTGACTTTGGGCCAGTCTCTCTCTCTTGGCCCAACCCGGGTGTTAAGTGAACGATGCCCGATTGTATGAACTTTTCTGCCCTGTTAAGCAAATCACTGCAGTTGAGTGAATCCTGCGGTCATTAATAAGAAGCCAACCAGGAACACCGCAAAGGGTGATCACGTGACCCTGGGGCACTGCAACTATTGCACCTATGTGCTGGTTGCTGAGCGCCTGGTCATTTTGATCCCATGACCGGAGATGTCAGTCTGAGGACTGGTTTTAAGTCATTTTTTTTTTTAGTACTGTTGTAAGGTTAAACAGGCCACGGGACCTCTTTCCTTTCAACTTTTTTTTTTTTTTTTGAATTGTGAGCCACCCAGAGATGGGCAGACATAGAAAATAAATAAATAAATGAATGCTAGATGTCAGTTAATCTGGGACCGTGTATTCCTGAGATGGGCTGATATAGGAAATAAATAAAAATAAATAAACAAACAAACAAGTGCTAGATGTCAATTAATCTATATCCTGAGATGGGCAGATATAGAAAATAAATAAAATAAATAAACAAGCAAATGCTAGACGTCAATTAATCTGGGACCTTGTGTTCCTGAGATGGGCAGATATAGAAAATAAATTTTAAAAATAGGCAAATACTAGATGTCAATTAATCTGGGACCTTGTATTCCTGAGATGGGCAGGTATAGGAAATAAATAAAAATAAATAAATAAACAACCAAATGCTAGATGTCAATTCCTCTGGGACCTTGTATTCCTGAGATGGGCAGATATTAAAAAAATAAATAAAATAAATAAACAAACAAATGCTAGATGCCAATTTGAGATCTTGTGTTCCTTACCTTCCCCTTTTTTTCTGCGTAGGTTCACGTGGTTTGCTGTTGTTAAAACTCTATTCATCTGAATGTTTTTGTAAACCCCATTCATCTGAATGTTTTTGTAAAGTGCCCACAGAAGCAAAGTGCTGGAATCTATCAGCGAGACTAAAACAAGAGCTAAGTAGCGACAGAGAGGAGATCTCCCTCTTCCCAAAGGCAGCCCTGAGCTAAAAACCGTGAGCCGGTCGGTCGTCTTAGTAAATAAATGTGTGGGCACCTTAATACAGGGGTCCCCAACCCCCAGTCCATGGACCGGTACTGTGCAACCGGTCCACAGAAACAAGCAAAGCCCCATCCGTGCGATGCAGGCAGTACACAAAACCACGCACTCTCCGGTCCGTGGAAAAAAATCTCTCCATGGAACCCGTCCCTGGTGCCCAAAAGGTTGGGGACCTCTGCCTTAATAAGATCGCTTCTACCGCAGCCCTGTGGGACGTATTCAGACACGCATGTACAATCATTGCTTGCTTGCTTGTCCATCAGGGAAGGTGGCTGAGCGAAGGTCTGGAGGAAAGCGGAGAATTGAAGTGGGAGATAGGTCCATCTCAGCCCTGTTTTGGCATAGACTTAGGGTCTTCTCGGTCTTCAGAACCCTGGACGTAGGAGCTAAGCCAATCCTGACCCAGTTAGGATTGGAATGAAGGACCACCAGGAACCCTCTCATCATTGTAGGAAGTACAAAAAAAAAAAAACATGTTAAAAGCAAGCAGCTGGAATCTCTTTCCATCCCGTTGTCAAGGAAACCCTATGCATCCATGAAGTTAGCTTGATGTGAAGGAGACTTTACTTAGTGATAGCTTAAGCCTAAAATAGGCCTAACAGAGTTTTTTTTTTTAAATAAATTTGTTGTTGTTCAGTCACTAAGCAGTGTCTGACTTTTGAGGGCCTCATGGACCATAGCACGCCAAGTCCCCCCATCCTCCACTGTCTCCTGGAGTTTGCCCAAATTCATGTTCATTGCGTTGATGATGCTATCTAACCCTCTTCTGCTGCTCCCTTCTCCCTTTGCCTTCCATATTTCCCAACATCGGGATCTTCTCCAAGGAATCCTCTCTTCTCGTTAGGTGGCCAAAATATTGGCGCTTCAGCTTCAGGATCTGTCCTTCCAAGGATCAGCCAAGGTTGATTTCCTTCAGGATCGGCCGATTAGATCTCCAAGGGACTCTTAAGAGTCTTCTCCAACACCACAGTTCGAAAAAGAAATTTGCTCCCCTCCCACCAAATCCAGAAAGAAAAAAAATCTGCCCTTCTTTGTTCACCCAAAAAAGTACGCCTTTTTGGTAATAGGCCC